TTTTTTTTGCAAAGGTCTAGGCTACGTCCACACATACCCGGGTATTTTTGAAAACGCAGATTTTTCTATGCGTTTGCACCTTGTCCACACGTAAACGGCGTTTTCGGTCACTGAAAATGGAGATTTTTAAAAACTCCGGCCAGGGTGGATATTTTTGAAAACTCCGATTTTGCCATTTACGTGTGGTCAAGAAAAACAGAGAAAATGCAGCGTCAAAGGTGTGCGCCTTTTTTGACGTCACACTGTGCGCCACGTTATTGTTTCGGTGAAATGAATTTCTATAATACTGTTAATTGTACTCTCTGCAGTGGTTAAATGCTTACATATACACACAGTTACTGTCCCTCCACACATACGACTCGGTTCTGCTTCTATGCCCCATCCTTGTTTACTATTTCCCAACGAGGCTTCTAGACTTCTGATTGGCCAACATTTCTACACTGTTAGGAATATATCGCCACCTGTTGCTTTGGCATGTTCATAGCAGCGGTTTCCTTCATTTTTGAGTTTAAGTGTGGACGGGATTATTTTATAAAACGAAATGAAAAATCTCGACATAGCCTAGACAGACCTGTTGTCTCCGTTAACATGTTAAGAGGAATATATGTTGGTGCACTGATGCACAAGATTCGCCAAAGAATACACTTTAAATTACTTTAACCCCGCAGTCTAATCTTAACTCTCACCATTTGCGTGAGCAGACATACATACATACATACATACATACATCCTTTTCTTGACTTTGGCACCGTTCACGTCCACTCCAACCAGAAGTTCAATTTCGTGGTGAAACTTGAGCATTTTGAGGAGGGTACACTCACCGCAGCCCAAGTCCACCACCTGGACAAAGGCACAGCGCAGACTCTCGGTTAAAGAAATTTAATAAGAAATTGTAAATACAGTGAACCCAAAGCGTTAAGAAAAGCCAAGGCAACGTAGTTTATTATGCACTATAGTAGCTAACTTAATTGGTTTGGTGAAAATGTTTGCTAACATAATTAGCTTTGGTGTAGTCAAACGTCGTTAAAAGAAATTCTTGCTTTTAAGCTAAAGTTTTAAAAAATGTATTTTTCACGAAGACATTAGCGACCTTTTTAGGTTTGTTCCTCTTGACAAAATCGACGACAAATTGATGTCTTTGCTTGTGAAGCGGCGGACTGAACGTCAGATCCATCTTTGTCCCGTCTTAGAGTCCTGTAACCCCGCCCGCCGGCCACCAGAGGGCGCTGTTGTTATCGAGTCTGGAGCGTTTTTGGGTGGAGGGGAGGGTGAGCAAAGATGGTTCTTTTTTTTTTTTTTTCCATACTTTAATTAAATTTATGCACATATTACAATCTCTCGTTGGGAGACAACATTAGTGCAACAACATCTTGAATAGGTTAAAAAAGAAACCAAACGAAATAGGAAAAAAAACAAAACACATATATACATATACATAAATATATGAAGGCCATTTTTATGACATATAACAGTTTCCTTTCTGCGAACACTTTAACATACATGTGGCTTACTTAGTACACCAAAACACAAGCATTAAAAGAGAAGAGATTGAGTCCCAGTGTGCAGACAAAAGCAGCCCCTTACATGAAAGTCCCGCAGTAAGTTAAAATGACAAAAAAGATGTAATTGCAATTTTCAAACAGTTAGGGAAGGTCTTTTACTTTGCCATTTGCATTTGTGTATGTGGTATTTGCCCATAATTATCACCACCTTGTGTAGCATGGACAGTTCCTTAGATGGATCACCATTATTATATAAAACTTGTGTTAGAGTCAGTGGGGTCATCCCATCTATTCTTATACTCAACCAGTCTACTAGATCTTGCCAAAAGTCAGTTGTTACTGAGCAGGAAAAAAACAAATGATCAATACTTTCCACATTTTGTGAACAAAATCCACATGGCTCTACCTCAAACCCAAACCTTTTTTTAAGCATTTCAGCTGCTGGGTAATATCCATTAATTATTTTAAATTGCATTTCTTTGACTTTGGGGGGGATAGGCCATTTTAAAAAGTGCGTATATTTGTTCGTTATTTTAACATTACTCCCTTTTAGTTTTGTGTTACTGTTAAAGTCGTGAAATAATTTGTTTTTAAATATCTTGTTCATGGTTTTATTATTACAGTTTTTATCCGTCAAAGGAATCTGGTTTAGATGTAAAGAAGGTAGACTAATTTGTGCCTTAGAGTAATACAAATAACCTTGAATCAAACTCAACAGAGGTAAGGGGATTGCCTTACAAACCTTGTCATATTCTCTAAGGGAACACTGAATGTTAAACTTAGCATTAAAAACACCCACTGAGAGAAACTGACCCCTTTCATCAAGTAAGTCTGTTATAAAGATTATGTTTTTTTCAAACCACTCTTTAATAAACAATGACTTCTTATTAATTGTAATTGTTCTGTTATTCCACAAGGTGGAGCAATGTGGTGAAAAGTTATGGGCAAACACCATCTTCCAATAAGACAAGACCTGCTTATGATATTCTGACAGTTTCACAGGCAACTTCAATATATCAAAATCACATTTCAGGAGAAAATCCAACCCTCCCACCTTTTTGAAAATATTTTTTGGGATATGGAACCATATGGAGTGAGGTTTCAAGAGGAAGAGCAAAGATGGTTCTGTTCTTACATTATTTAAAATATATCGGCAACACATGGCTTCAAAAGTGGTAGAGTTGTGGAAGTGCATCCAACTGGTCAAAATTTATTTTTTTTTATATTAAATTAATAATTGTTGGCTTTGGAAAAATCCCTTAAAGCTTAATCGAGGCTTCAGCAGGCTTGAGCATGTCTTTGAAAGTAAAATATATGACTTATTTTTAAATATTTTTGCTTCTACTCCACATAATATAAGCAAAGCAATTATGTAGTAATACAAATGTCCATTTTCCACCACAAATATATCCCGTATTGCGCAAAAGCCTTGAGCCAACCTGCATTACTTTACATTTTGCTATGGAAAATAGAAAAAACATACACACATACATGCTAATACAGTCTAAGGCATAAATTGAGTTTGTACAAGTCTAACAAGCCAGAATGTCAATATTTGGATGGATATGACCACTTTTTTTCTGCCTGAACTCTCTTAGGCAGTCTTGTTTTGTGATTTCTATAAGCTGTTGTCATTAACAGTTCTCCAGGCTTCTCAAAGGAAATTCAAAGCTCTTCTTTGGCTGTTGACAACCTTTTGCAAAGCTCCAGTTAAATATATAAAGATAAAAGGTTAAAAAGTACTGCAGGGTCGCATTGAGCCATAGCTAAGCAGAGCAGTGTGTGGTGGAACGGGTGGAGAACCAAATAGGTTGCAGAGTGAAGAAGAGTGTGGAGCACCTTATTAATCCGAGCAAATGAATTGCAAATGGGATTCCAACACTAGAAGGGGGCCCCAAAGAGCACTTGAAATGTCACACAAACCAGTTTGTGTGACATTTGTGTGAGAGGTTAACATTTTATGGAAATATGAAAATAACCATGCTTCCATATGCCCGTTAAAAACAAAACGATACTTAAATATCCAGTAAGAGACATACAGCATGTGTATAAAAAATATTTGTGTTATGGTGTATTCCTGTGTGAAAATGGATTGTGCTATGGACAATGGACTGCTGCATGGGCTGTACTGCAGAGGGTGCTTTTCTCTTACTGACTTGAGGTCTTGTGGACTTGCAAAATCCAAACAAGAAGACCATTTTATTTCTATCTTTCTCTTAAAACACTGCTTGCAGCATCACTCACTGCAGCCACGAAAACCCCTAAACACATATAGTGAATGCAACTTTCCCACAGAGACAAGAATTCGTAATACAGTGTTTGAATACTTTCAGGTAACATACTGTTGTTCATATGATAAAACTTGACTGTCCTTAATTATCAGTTAGTTCTGATCCGTCAGGATCACCTCAGACAACTGAGGCGTCACACAGTCCCAGTTTTACACTGAAATAATTTATTTAAACAGAAACTGTTTTATCACAGCATTCAGAACATTTCATTTTGAAAGTTTTGAAACCCAAAAATAGACTTGTGAGGTTTATTATGTGCTCATTGTGCTGTGGGGCTTTACATAATACACAGTGGTCTGTCCCTCTAGGCCAGTTTATCCAAATGACCAAAGCTTCATATATACCAGATGCTGCCAGGCTTCAGTTGCATCATTTCCTTTCACAGTATATCACTGCGCTTTACCACATTTGGGAAATACGGAACAGCTGTGAGGCACATGAACAGGAATCATACATTGTCTTGATTTCCTTCCAGCACACTAGTAAGTTATGATAATAGTTGTGTTTGATGTTTAACGCACAAATGATAAAGCATGAACAAACTATAGATAATACTAGTGGTGCTGAGGTGGGCGGGACTGGTGCTGGCGGGGGCCCCAAATCAAATTCTACTTAAGGTCAAAATGACCCTCCTGGCTGTTCTAAGTGTTAAAGCTATCCATGTATCTGCCTGTCAGTGCATAAATCCCAGTGAAGACCTCTGATTTTGAGTATGAGAAAATACACATTACTTCTGTAATTTGGATTAGCATTTTTTGAATAAATAGTGACATAATGTAATAATGGATTGCATTTATATAGCACTTTTCAAGGCACCCAAAGCGCTTTACAATGTCACTATTCATTCACACACTGATGGAGGCAAGCTACGGCTGTAGCCACAGCTGCCCTGGGGCAGACTGACAGAAGCGAGGCTGCCATATCGCGCCATCGGCCCCTCTGGCCAACACCAGTAGGCAAGTAGGGTAAAGTGTCTTGCCCAAGGACACAACGACCAGGACAGAGAGCCCAGGGATCGAACCGGCGACCTTCCGGTTACAGATGCGATTCCCAACCCCTTGAGCCACGGTCGCCCCAATGTCTTCTGTTGTTTATCTGAAGTTGTTCTAAAATAATCTTCAGACTTGCACAGGCCCTGATATGTAAAGCTTCAGAGTTAAAAGATGGTGTGCTTTCCAAGTTGGAAAAAATGAAACTCCAGATTAGATTTGTTTTGTGTGTTTTCAACCTTTTTTTTATTCTTTAATTTCTGGGATTGTTCAAAAGCATCTGTCGGCGTGTTTACAATCTGAGAAGTCACATGGTACATCAAAAAGATCAGATACTGCATGGCTTTACAAATATAGCTTTATAAATTACCATTTTATTTGTTTACACTACATTTTTCATCAATCATGCAGAGAATCGAATAACCTACCCCAAAAATATAAGCATGTTTTTGATAAATACTGTATAATTTCAGCAGAGCTACATTTATGCAAATATACAAACTACTCCCACAGAAAATTCAGAAGCATTTAAATCTATAAGTGGTTGTTAGGTTTGATCATCATCTCTTTGTGACATTTAAGAAACATAATTTTATCATGACTTTGTATGCGTGATTACTTCCTTTTCACAATTATCTTCCTAAAGTATGTGTACGATCAAACCAGCATGAGTTGTGTTATGGACGCTACAAAGTGGCATATGATAGTATTTCTTTTTAGTCCAGTGTCTATTTAAGTGAATTTGTGTGTATGCGTGCACGTGTGTGTGTGTCACTAAGAGCCCACTAGAGCATCAGTGTTTCTGCACTTGGACTGGGAGTAGCTGCTTTGGTTGATGGCATTTTTGGCTGCCACCCTGACGCAGTAGGTGGTCTGGGGTTTGAGATCAGTCTCTGTGTAAGAGTCACCTTCCACTCTTCGAACTCTCGCCGGCTTGCTGGCTTTTCCCTCTATCTGCTCCTCCTCAATCATAAGTGTGTACTCGGTGGCACCCGTCACTGTCGTCCAACTCACATGCAAAGAAACTCCACTTAATCTTAATGTCAGCACCTCTGGGATTTCAAGATCTAACAGAGACAGAGGGAAGTGAGTGACAGCTGATTGATTACATGAGCAACACTATCTTGATGCTGTTTTACACCAATACAAACACACTAACCCTCTTCTAAACTGGCATAGAACTGAACAAATTCCAGGTCTCTTCTTCTGCGAGTTGTCACTGGACCTGAGGAAGATGCGGAAAGCACTCGTAAGAAAATGTCTCAAAGAGGGTTGTGTTAAATAGCAATATATAGAAAAAGAACCAACCACATTTAATTTTTAGTGGCATTATACAAAGTTATAAAGAATTACATAAAACACAAAGGAGTGTAGAAACATTTAAATCTGTTTTCCTAAGTTGCGTGCAGGCTGCAGACCACTGCTGTCTGTCTGACCTGTAATGTTTTGGCTGGGATTGCTCTCCCCTACAGCATTGCTAGCTGTCACTATAGTTGCATTAGGATCGAAGTCGGTCAGCTGGCAGGAGAGTTCGGTGGTGTTGCATAGTTTTACACGGGTTCCTCTCGATACGTTGTAGACCGTGTAACTGGTAGCAAACACTGAAGCATTCCAGAACAGGACAGCAGACTGCCTGTTGCCAGTGTACATCACACTCTGTGGAGCACACGGGGCTGGGAAGGAAACAGTGAAAATGCTGTTAACCGAAGGAAAGGGTAATGCTACAGTTAAAATTTTATCTATACTGTAATGTCAGGCTTTTGTTATTATTGCATTTGATGTATAAATCGCTATAACTTGAGGCTGACATTATGGTATAAGTTTAGTTTAATTCAAAATAAATCAGTTTAATTTAATTTATATAGCGCCAAGTCACAAATAATTGCCTCAAAGTGCATTATATTGTAAAGACCTTACAATAACACAGAAAACCCCCAACAATCAAACAATCCCCCTATGAACATGCACTTTGGCAACAGTGGGAAGGAAAAACTCCCTTTTAATAGGAAGAGACCTCCAGCAGAACCAGGGATCTGCAGCCATCTGCATTTGCATAAACATCCATGCAAAAACACATCCTGTTCCATTTAAAGTCTACAAATGAGAACAGAAAGTTACCTGTTAGTGCAGTAATGGGACTCGATGGCTTGCCGATACCAGCTGAGTTCTTGGCACGCACTGTGATGTTAAAAGCAGTGCTACAAGGCACTGGAAATTCAAAGTATGGCCTGGGTAGCCAATAAGAAGAGACAGTCATCAAGGCTTGTGGGTTGTTTTCAATCTGACCGCTGATTTCCGCCAAATAATCAACATCAGGACATGTAACTTTGCTCCATGATATCATGGCCCAGTATAACCTGTCTATCCTCTGCATACGGACATTCACACGAGAAGGAGGGCACGGGACTGAAGAAGAAGGAAGAAGCATTTTATCAATAACACTGCAAATTGACCATAAATGTAGGAGTAGAAACACATTAAACACTTTTTTCCCCCAAACTTGTGGTTAAATATAAATGTTTGACTTACCTGCTCCGGCCTGCAGAGGTGAGCTGAATGAGCTGTTGCAGATGCTGTTAGAGGCTGTCACAGAGAAATTGTAAACGCCACCGCACTCCAGCCCTTTGAAGGTGCAGGAGGGATTGCTGCTGTTACAGAACAGGGCGACTCCATTCGTGGATTGTGCAAAGCTAAAATACTCCACAGCACCCGTGCTTTTGTTCCACGACATGGCAGCCGAGTTGGTCTGACAGTCAATATCCACCGCGATATCAGAGGGCGCACAGGGCACTGATAGGAAGGAGAGAGAGGATTCCTGTTAGGGGAACGTAGCATGCAGCCCAATTTCTAAACGCAGTTTTTTAGAAATGTTGAATCTAAAAAACAGGATACCCTTTTCAGTAACACAAACTAATCAAAAGACTTGAAGAAGTAAAGCTCAATAAGATGACAGAAAATAACTGATCAGTTATTTGTACCTGTTTTAAAGGATGAACTGCTGGGATAGCTGGTACAGTTCTCCCCTCTGGCAGTGATGCTTAAATTGTACAGCTGACCACAGTGAAGATCAACCAAAGAGCAGTTGTTCACTGAGGTGTTGCAGGTTGCCACGTGTCCATCTCGAGTTGTGGCTATCAGCTGGTATGATGTGGGCACCAGAGAGTCCGCCCATCTCACTTTGGCCCCAGCGTCCTTGCACGATGGCACCACTGTTACATTGGCTGGGACGCAAGGTGCTAAAGAAGACAGAGTTATCTGATTCAAATCTCTGTGGGTGTTTGTACTGAAACTCTACTGTAGTTTAGCAGACAAATCTGGGAAGCTGAAGAATACCTGTTTGGATCTTCTTTGGAGGGCTTCTGAGGCTGCTGCACTTATCAGAGGAAGTTGCTACTATGACGCTGTAGTGCATGCCGCAGTGAACATTCTGGAGTACACATGAAGTGGAGGTACTGTTACAGGTAACAACAGAGTTGTCATCACCTTCAGCTGTGACCACATAGACTGGCGTCCCTGCAGTCACCTTCCATTCAACTAGGATGGTGTCACTGTTGCATTGGCTCATTGCACTGATGGATGTTAGAGTGCAAGGACCTACAGAAAAGAATTTAAACCAATAATTAGAAAAAGGAAAAATCCTTTCCAGTGTCTAATCTGTCACAAAGGATAAAACAGCTGAAAACAAGCTGAAAAGATATAGATAGCAGGCCTCACCCAGAGATGTCAGTGGTCAAAATACTTTGCAGAAACCTCACAAAAACACACAAAACACCACACACTTAACAGAGAGGGATCCAGAGTGCAGAGATTCCTGCTAAATACCTGTCTCAAGCTCAAAGGTGGCATTGTCAATACTGCTGCAGTGCTTGTTGATAGCCTTGAGCTTAAAGGTGTAAAGTGTCCCACAGTTCAAATCCTGGACTTTACAGGGAGATGAGGTGGTAGTGCAGCTGGAGTTGTGACCATTGGCTGCTCGGGCCAGCACAAAGTAACTGGTTGCTCCCATCGAGTCGTCCCACGTCACCCAGGCACTGTTTGATATGCAGTCCAGACTACCCTTAATGTTCCTGGGTATGCATGGAGCTATTAAAGGTGAAAGGCAAAATAATGAGCAAGTTGCTCCAGAGGAGATCCACATTTAATTCAACATAAAAGAAAAAATGATGGAAAGCATATCTATTTCTAAACTTCCAGTAGCACCCACCGGTTAACATCCTGTGAAAAATCTGTGGCTTAAGCCGAAGATCAGGCAAAACATTAATGCGCATGGTAAATGTAATATATATATATATTTAATCATCTACAGATGTTCAGTGGCACCATAAGCTCAGCTTCTTATTTCAACATGTTGAACTGCAGTTATGCGCCGGGACTCCTCCCACTTCCCACATCTGGAAACTCTCTATAACACCATCTCTAAAGAAATGTTACATACATGGTTTGCTGGCTTTTGCACCTGATGGTGCAGCTGTTGTCATAATTCAGATCTTAAGCCTTGATTTTAAAGATGAAATAAACTAACAAATATTTATTATCAGATTGATATTTGCAGCTGTTTTGCTTTCCAGATTAATACACCGTCTCATATTTGGGGTCTTATTTATGGAACAAAGACATGAAGAAAGTGTATCACGTCTCCAGCACATCAGTACATTTTGTATTTATAAGAAAAGTTTACCTGAAGAAGACTCCACCACAGCGCTCGGTTTGCTCTGGCAACCATTTCTTATAGACAGCACAGTGATGTTGTAGCTCTGTCCACAGGGTAGATTATTTAGAGTGCAGCTATTTCCAGTAGAGTTACAGTAGAGTCTCGCCCCAGTGTTGCTCACTGCAGCCACGTGGAAGTACTGGGCATCAGGGTTGGGGGACCAGGACACAACCATGGAACCTGCTCCGCATTGTGCACCAACAACCACATTCTGTGGTGGACAAGGCGCTGAGGGTGGCAGAGACACAAGTTGTTTGAGTATTTTTAAACTACTCAGATAAATTATTAAGCCTTCCATCTGTATGTAGATTGTATAAAGTCACAAGCTGTTACACTGAGTTCATGTCTGAGCCTCCGCTGCTTTTGATACCTGTTCGTACGTAAGCTTTGTTGCCCTCCAAACTGGAACAGGACTCATCCTGGCTGAACACGCTAACATTGTAGGTCTGCCCACACTGCAGCTCACTCAGATCACAGAAGGTCATAGTGTTGTTACACTCAGCCCCGTAACGGCCATCTGCTGTAACACCCACTGCAGTATATAGGAGAGCTCCGCTGGCCCCCTCCCATGTCACTGCAGCAGAGTTTGAGTGGCATCGTAAAGAAGCTTTCACGCTGGTTGGCTTACATGGCACTGTGAAAGAAAAAGATGAATTAAGCATTGCTGAGGTATGAGGTATGATATGAGCAGTAAGACAACTGACATGTCAACAACATACAATCATTTTTTTCATCATTACTATCATTGGCTAAGCTTTAAAGACATCTTAAAACACAGATCACACACCACCTACCTGACTGCAGGCTGAGGTGGGCTCGGCTGTTATCACAGCGTCCATCCTGAGCTGTAACTGTCAGGTTGTAGAGCTGGCCACAGTGCATGTTGGGTAGCTTGCAACTGCTTTTAGTTGTGTCGCACTCTGACTTGTGACCATCAGGTCCAAAAGCCTGGACCTTGTAGATGGACACACCCTCCCCTTCTTCCCATGATACCACTCCTGTGTCATTCCTGCACACCATCTCAGCTCTTACTTTCTGAGGCACACATGGCACTAAAGACAAATGTGAACACAGAAGAATATTAATTGCACTCTAATATACTATATATTCATGATTTCTTTTAAAAAATCCATCATATTTTGATAAATGAAATCTTCTAACCTGTGTTGATCTCCACAGCAGAGCTTTCAGTGCTGTTACATGTGTCATCTGAAGCAGTAACAGTGATCGAGTAGTTGAGGCCGCACAGCACGTCACCGAGCAGGCAGGTTGAGTCGTTGCTGTTGCAAACTGAAGCGTAGCCACCGCGGCCCTGGGCAACTACCGTGTAGGATAATGCTCCTTTACTTGGCTCCCAAGACACTGCCACAGCCCCAGACTCACAAACAACCCCGGCCTCCACTAGTTGTGGTATGCAGGGCACTGCAAAAACACAGGGAAAGAACGATTAGTACAGATGCAATGATCACATACAGACCTTTTCAATGATAATAACTAGTAGTAACAACATCTGTGTGTAAATATTAGATTGTTCAGTAGTATATTTAAACAATCACAAAAAATATTATGTATTTTTATTTTCCTATTTAAGAAAATTATGGACTTAGCATGTCGTAACTGGCTGTCAGACATGAACATTCCCTATTGTACCTGCTTGCATCTGCTGTGTGTCACTCTTTGACACATTGCACACATCATTAACAGCAATCACGCTGATGTTGTAGGTGAAGCCACATAAGAGGTCTGCGAGGATGCAGGACTGTGACATTGTCTCGCAACTCGTTTCATCTTCTTCCACGCCGGCGGCTTGGACAATGTAGTAGTCCGCCCCTCTGCTGGCCTGCCATTCCACCACAGCTGTGTTAGTAGAGCAATCCAGTACATGCACAACATCCTCGGGAGGACAAGGCACTGGTGGTTGAAGGACAAAGTGAAATAGCTCAATGAGGAGGTAGTAAGTGTAATGATAGTGGCTAGCTGCAACCCTAGCTCCATTTCTAGGTGCTTACACTTCTGACTCAGATAACATAACAGCTCCTTAAGCTTCATCAAGGCTTTTATACCTAAAAACCTAATAATTTTATAATGGAAAACTTAATAACATCTTCAGGTCCCTAAAAAATGACATGTAGTTTGCACTAGTAAGCGACCCAACTAAACCGCAATACTGAGTTTTGCATTTGTTTATGCCCTCCTAGAAGTTGAAATATGCCAAAAAAATATGTTTTCCGCCAGTTTGAAATTACTGTGAAACTACCAAATAAGTAGTACACTACAGCAAATCATTGCCTCACAATTTTAACTTATTTTTATTGCATATAGATTTTTTTTTTACCTGATTCCACCTGGAGTGTGGAGCTGGGAGGGCTGCTGCACTCATAATTTGAGGCCACAGTGATCACGTCATAGATCTGACCACACTGTAAGCCTGGCAGCTCACAGTTGGTGATGTTGGAGCTGCAGGTGGAAACATGGCCACTGGATGAGTGTGCTGTTGCATTGTAATACAAGGCACCCTCAGCGTAGGCCCAGTCCAAGAGGGCTGAGTTGGTGAAGCAGTCCAGAATCACTGTGCCAATGTTGGGTGTGCAGGGAACTGACAAAAGAAGGGAGTAACACTTTGAGTACTTGCACATGCTAAGAGCAATAAATCTATGACACACTGACATCATGAACATCACACAGTCCAAAGGAGATTCATTTAAAATCTCACTGTTTTACCTGAATGGAAAGTTATAGCTGGGCTGGGCAGACTTGAGCAGGTTTCATCCTCTGCCACCACCTGGACAGAATAGTCATGTCCGCACGTCAGATTGGTCAAAGTGCACCTTGGGCCTGCAGTCTGGCAGATGGACATGGACCCCACTGTGTTCTGTGCTGTCACTTTGTAAGAAAGAGCCCCATTGCTAGCACTCCAGGACACAACAGCCTGATTTTTGGAGCAAACCATCTTCACTTCCACATTAGTCGGAACACAAGGAACTAGATAAAAGTGTGAAGAATAGGAAATTAAAACTCATTTAAGTATACATTTTAAATGAACACAGAACTACATTTAAAAAAAGACTTAAATTAGATCTGTCTTTGAATTATTTACACACTTTCTATTTTCAGAGTAAAAATAACAACAGCGTAGCAAAAATACTGATTTGTCCTCACCTGATCGCAGTGGGTCACCTTTACTGGGATCAGAGTTACACTTCCTGTTTGAGGCCACCACAGTCACTGTGTAGTTCTGTCCACAGAGGACATTGGGCATGGCACATTGCTCGCTGTCAGACCAGCAGCTCGAAGACTGTCCATCTTCCGTCCTAACTTTGGCAATGTAGTACTCTGCACCAGCCGAGCCAGTCCACGACACCACAGCAATGTTGGAGATGCAGTTCATGAAGCTGGAGATACCGGTGGGTGAACAGGGCTCTTTGGGACGAAAGGAGAAAAGACTGGATTAGAAAAAAAGGGTCTCAAGTATGGTGCACAGTTCCATTTTAACAGCACATGTTTCAATGACTCCAGGTCTGCCTGTAAAAATCACGTTTAACTGACCGGCAATAAAAATTGCTTTACCACTCGTTGTCAATTACAGTTCCTTAGTATATGTAAGAAATGATGCATTTTACAACATAAAATCCTTTATGTACAATTGTTTTTACGGTTATCGTGCATTTTTGCAAAGAAATATAATATATGCATTGCCCTTTTACTTACTGGCTTGAAAACAAATTTTTCCAAGTATAAACTGGATTTTACCTGATGTAAGACTTAAAGGTGGGCTGGGGCGGCTTGTGCACACTGAATCTGCCGCCTGAACAGACAGGAAGTATTCCTGACCACAGTGGAACTCAGAAATGTAAGTCCAGGTATCATTGGTACTGAGCTGCACTTTGTGGCCAATGTTGTTCTCTGCAGTCACGATGTAAAACTCTGCAGTTTCACTGGCATTCCAGGCCAGTGATCCCACCTTAGAAAATATTACAGTACAATTCAATCATACAATTCAATCCTCATCAGAAATCAAGATAGCATTCTTACTTTGAATGTCCTTCAAGAAGGTTTGACACTTTTCCTAAAGACTACTCAATAAAATCACACGAAGGTTTGCTTAAGAGAGTTCAAGCTATATAAGCAATGAACCAGGGAGTAAGATCTATGAGTTTATCTTTACCCAGGTGAACTGGGTATGTCTTTAATTTACTGAGCAGAAACCTTTTTAAAGAGTTAAAAGAAAATCCAGATAAATAATATTCACCTTTGTAGTGCAATTAAGAGATGATGTCAGATTCTGAGGTATGCATGGTGCTAAAAAGAGAAGACATAAGTTTAGACATTTATTAGTGTTGATTAATTTGATTATTATTTCTTTATTTAATTGTATTGATTTGTCTAGAGCGACAAAATGAAAGTGCTAGGAAATGGTATAAAATGTCAGCAATTTAAAACTAAGATATTCAGCTCTGTACTGCTACTGTTCTGCATGCAGTGCGTTCATTTTCATGTGCTCTAAAAAAATCCCCATTAAAACAATTCCAGAAATATTACTGCTGTTTAAAAGCTTGTTTACCCATCCGAATTGAAGTGCTGTTGCTCGGCATGCTGGTGCATACGTAGTTCATGGCAACGACATAAACTGTGTACGTTTCACCACAGTGTAGATCATTCCAGGTGCAGATGGTGGTGTTTGTGGTGCATGTGTGGATGTGGCGATCCTGTCCTGTTGCAATGGCCATGTAGGACTCTGCGCCATCGCTCGCGGCCCAGCTGACTGAGCCCAGGCTCTGCTCACAGCGTGTAAAGCTCTGTACATGTGCCGGGACGCAGGGGGCTGACGAGAAGGTTAACAGTTTAATCATCACGCATTATGCATGTTATGTGTGAAAAAAATCTAAATGAGACACATACTTGTCATGTATTTTTCAGGCCGGCTTGTAGGACTGTCACACCAGTCATCTTGAGCTTTTACAGTGAATGTGAACAGCTGTCCACAGGGCAGGTTGGTCTCTATCATTGTGTTATTCGTTTTTAAAGACGTGCTGTATCCCAGGTTTCCGTCCGCTTTCACAATATATGCCGATGCTCCTTTAGCCTTAAACCAGTACAGCAGCACCGTCTCATTGTTACATGACCCATGGACCCTCAAACCATCTGGCTTACAGGGTTCTGATAAAAGAAGAGTCACATTGGTATTCTGAGGGATGTTGCTGTCAGTCTAGCAACTGTTAAATTTAGGGAAATTAATAGTAATTAATTGATTAATAGAGTAAATCTAAACAGTCTTTGTGGATGAAAATTCCCAACCTATCTTTATGTACAGAATAATTAATAATTAAGGTTAGGCCACTTAATAGGAAATAAAGCATGTTATTAATTCAATCAGGCAGTAATTAAAGTACAAATCACTCATTCAGTTAATCAGTACTAACGAGTTACTGTACCTGTCTGAATCTCTACAGTGCTACTGATTTCACTGTAGCACCTGTTGCTGTATGCAATGACAGAGAGTTTATAGGTGTCCCCACAGGTCAAGTTAGAGAACTGACAGGTGGAATTGGTGGAGTTGCACTTCAGTGTTGTTCCCATGTTGGTGGCAGTAGCCATGTAGAGCTCCACTCCCGCGCTTTCCTCCCAATACATGTTGGCTGTACTTGTCCCACACTGTAGATCCACTCCCACACGTGACGGCTTACAGGGGCCTAGGCCGTAATTCAAAGAGTGAAAATAGTTTTAATGATTTTATTTTAGACTGTAGAATAAATTTAAGATCGTGATTGAGACGCGGCTCAACTCACGTGTGCTAAAGGAGATATTAGTGCTTTTCTCAGTCCGGCAGTGGTCGCCGATGGTTACGAGAGTGACGTTGTACACCTGTCCACACTCCAGCTCTGTCAGATTACACTGATGTTCAGTACTCTCACAGGAAGCGCGGGAACCATCTGCTGAAACAGCAGTCACCATGTAGGAGTTTGCTCCACTGACTGGACTCCAGGAGACTGTGGCTGTGTCATTGTAGCAGTCCAGGTTAGCTGTGCACTTTCCAACTGCGCAGGGAGCTATTGGCAAAAAAACAACAACATCAGTACTGCCATGCAGGACATCGACTTTAAAGCTGCAATGATCTCCATGAATGCACGGCTCCAAATCATATTTATTATTCAAGTTTCCACTTCAGAAAATAGATGTTATACAATTCGGCAGACGAGTACACATTCACTGAGAAGCACAGGTTCTCTGCATGGGCATGTAGTTGATGTAGCTCAAAATACCCGATTTTTATGCCCTTTTTAAAAAATTAAATAAGTCCCTGATTTTTTAAAACAGCAAGCAAGACGTTGTTTGTTGCCTAGGCTGCCTGCTATGATGCTGTTATAAAAGTAAACACTTAAATGAGGTTCAAAGAAGCAAAAGAAAACTTTTTAAGGGGGTTGGCTGTCTTCAGACCAAGAGATGGCACGTGATATTTTCTGTTTATTACGTGTGTCTTACTTTTAGTTCATTTCTTCTATCATTTTAGCTTTTTTTCAATCAAGTTCTCGCAGTTTACATTATTTTCATTAAAACACATCTTAAAACCGTTCAGCTATAAGTGAAAACTGCAGTTATAAAGTTTGGGAAAGAGAGAAGGGGGTCTCAGCATACAATGTCAATAAAATTAGGCTGGTAGGGTACCTGAATACAGCAGGACAGTGTTGGACCTGCTGCTATTGACTTTCTCCCCAATAGCAATGACATTAGTGTGGTAGATGACTCCGCAGTGAAGTCCTTCCACGCTGCAGGAAGTGGCATTAGTATGACAGGACAGCGAGTGTCCGTCACGGCCAGCGAAGCGAGCCTCGTAACCTACTGCACCAAAACTTGTCTCCCAGGAGACCATCCCCTGGTTATTCTGACAGTTAACGTTTGTCTGCACGTTATTGGGCGGGCACGGCTCTGAGTGCGGAAAGAGAGACACAACAGAATGATTTAGTGTGGATGTTGATATATATTCTGTCCAATTGTTGAAGCTAAAGGCTGCCCAAAGTGACTTAATAAACTATCAGCGGGGATCTGCAAATTTAAAGAGCCCATCAGTAGTCATGGAGGAAAACATGAAGATATTTTGATACCAAAATAAATCAGGGAACAAAAAATGTTTAGCACGTGTTCTCACCTGTCACAATTAAAACTTGTTCAGTAGAGGCAGACACATTTTGGCACACAAAGTTGTTTGCTGTGACAACGATGCTGTACATTTGGCCACAGTTCATGTTGTACAATGCACAGTAAGTGTCATTGGTAACACAGGAGGTGGTGAGTCCCTGGTCTGTTTGCCCCGTGACTGTGTAGTAATTAGCACCCTTGGTTATGTCCCACTGCACCTGGCCGATTGTCACGCTGTACTGGGTGGTGATTTGGATTGGGATGCAAGGCTCTAAAAGAGAGGATGGAGGAAAACTGAGACAAAAATGTAGCTTTGTGTGTTCGAACTGCAGCTTCAAATTAAATGCAAGAAGGTAGCTTAGATTTGGTCCACTGTAGTAAAGTTATGTAATGTAAGTAATGTTAGAAAAAAGCAGAAACTTTATTGTTTCAAGAATTTTAGTGCATTTAAGGTCATTTTGGTTAATTGTGTTTTATCACTTTTACTGATACTTTGGTTGGTTTTAAGTGGGAAAGGTCAACATAATTATACAATTTCAATAAATTAGCAGTTTGTTTCACTTTTTTTAAAGGTGGAAAAACTCGGCAAGACGAAAGATGTGCTATATAGGTTCGTGAAGCCTCTGTGGTGCTGCTCACCAGTGACCAGCTGTCCTGTCATTTTAGCGATGCTGCTGCAGGTCTTTCCTATAGCTTTGACAGACACAGAGTAGCTCTGTCCACAGAGCAGCTCTGTCAGGTCACAGGAGGTCCTGTTGGTCTCACAGGTGACGTTGTGACCTGACTTTGTAGTGGCCATCGCGATGTATGACAAGGCTCCATCACTCGGCCACCATGAAACCACAGCTGCCTTAATTGCACAGTCCATATATGCCCTGATATTTATTGCATTACAGGGGACTGAGGGAAAGACAGATAAGACAAGAAACTTTATATGAATAGTAAAAATGTAAAAGCCAGGGACGGAGCATTTTACTAAAATGTAAAATTGAACATCATCCATCACTGTATCGCAACTGACAAATATGAAAAAGAAAAGCAGATTTTAACTACACAAAACTACAACTCAGTTTTCTAAAGCAGTTTTATGCTGGGTAAAATCATTTGCAGACCTCACAAACTCATATTTTATTCACAATAGAACACAGAAAGACAGAATATAAAATGTTTGAAATGAGAAAATGTTAATTTTTAAGAAAAATATGAGCTCATTTTGAATTTTATGGCAGCAATACTTCTCAAATAAGTTAAGTAGCGGGAACAAAAGGGTGAAAATGTTTCCAGGAATAATGAGGAACATTTTCCTACTAATTGGGTTAAATGGCAGTCAGTAAACAACTGACTGGGTATACAAAGATAATAAATCAGGCTTAAAATGCACTTTGCATAAAAGAAGAAACAGGACTGTTGAGCAGCAAGAATCCTGTATCAGACAAGACTCTCCCAAAAGTCACGGCAATGTTTTTATTAAAATGGTACATTTTCTCAGTTTACACATGTGACGCGTTTTTCATGTTGTACCACAGATAGTTCTCTATAATTAAAATGCATTGAATTCCCTCTCTGTCCTACCTGACGGTGTGTCAACAACAGGAGTGGGCGGGCTGTTGCAGTACCCATCAGAAGACACTACGGAAACATGGTAGATCTGTCCACAGCCGAGTCCTGTCACATTGCAGGAGCCCTCTGTTGTGGCCTGGCATGTTGTGCCCTGATTGGTGCTGTCGTGCAGTGTGGCGATGTAGGAATCGGCTCCTGAGCTTTTCGACCAGGAAACGATGAGAGAATTGGCCTGACAGTCGACCACGGAGGAGACGTTTGCTGGAGTGCACGGCACTGATGAGAAGAGACAATTGTCAATGTTTAGAGCAGAGCTGTAATGCCTGAAAGTTCGTGATTAATATCACAGAAAGATTTGAAAAAATGTTGCCTGGTGTGATGAGTCTGAATTTCTCCAGCAATAATCAGAAGGTAGTATCGGGATTTGGCAGAAACAACATGAAAGCATGGATCCATCCTGTTTTGTTTCAACTGTTCAGGCTGATGGTGACGTAATGGTGTGTTCGATATTTTCGTGGCACGCTTTGGGCCTCATAGTACCAACTAAGCACACTTACACACTATAGCCTACTCAAATATTGCTGTTGTCCATCCCTTTATGACCACAGTGTAGTCATCCTCTGATTCTTGCTTACAACAGGATCCTGCACCAAGTCAAATCATCTCTTTAAATTAACTGTACTTAAAAAGCCTCCACAGACACCAGATCTCAGAAATGTTTCAGCACCTTGTTGAATCTAAGTCAGGAAGAAAAAAGGAAGCCCAAAATGGTACAAGTAAGGTGTACCTAATAAAGTGACCAGTAGGTGAATGTATAATTACCTCTTCTGCATGAAAAAAAAATTCTTTGAAAAAAATAAACTGGCATCACCTTTTTAAAAACAAGTAGAATTTGAATTTAATGTACCGTAAGTAGATGCAAAGTCCTAAACTTTCAATGACAGTTTCAAAATCACTGGTAACTGGTGTTCCTGTCAAAATAAAACCACAGCAATAAAACGGTTCAGCAGTCGGAGTGCATACCTGTCTTGATCGTCACATTCTCACTCGGTTTGCTCTTGCACGTCATGTCCTCTGCAGACACAGTGGCTGTGTAGTATTGTCCACAGTGCAGATTGGTCAGTTCACACTGCTTGTCAGGAACCCTGCACTCGTCCACATGCCCGTCAGTACCCACTGCCTTTACACTGAAAAGCTGTCCTTCCTTTATAGAGCTCCATGACATGGAAGCCACATTGTTGCTGCAGCTCAGGCTGGCTTTGAGATTCTCAGGAACGCATGGCACTGAGTGGGACAGAAATATACGTCTGCTTTCTTTTTTCCCCCCAGTTATGTTAATGAATATTTTATGTAATTTACTGTGTGCACTGTACCTGTCCTAAACATCAGCTGTTCGCTCTCTGAGCTGTTGCAGGTTCGTCCCTCAGCCGTGACGTGCACGATGTAAATTTCGCCGCATGGCAGATGTGTGACATCACAGCTAGTGTTTGACGTAGTGCAGCACGTGGTACTGTCTCCGTACACGTCTTCCAGCGTGGCCGTGTACGTTAAAGCACCTGAGACAGTCGACCAGGTAATCGTGACTGTTCCGTTGTTGCAGTTCACTAATTCCTTTACGCCATTAGGAGGGCAGGGAGCTGTAGAAAGAGGAATAGTCTGAGGTACAGACTTGAACTTCTGTTTCTGTCCTTTCTTGAATATTATTGAGATTACACAACACAGCAACACATTACACATGAAAAACCCAGCGTGGGCTACATTTCCAAGAAAATTAACTCATAACTTGGACACATTCCCACTCAGAGTCAAGTTAGACATATTTAACCCATAAAACAGTGACTTTCAGCTGTTTTATGCAAAGAGTATTTTAACTGTAAATATTTCATGCCTGTGAAGCTGTATCCACATTATCAATTTTCACCTCACGGATGTGGTGAAGATGGACATGGGTGTGATAGGATGAGATGGAAGCAGCCAAACGAAAAAGAGGAAGAAGCAGCAGTTTATAACAAAACCAGAACATCAGTTATGTAGTAGCTCATTTACCGCTTACTGCTTGTAAAATGACAAATGTGGCGCTGACCTCGAGCACAATTTGTCCCCCCCATTAGGTGATCACTGTGTGCATTTCACACATCCTTTAAATTGCGGACAGAGCAATGGGTAAACAGCTGTATGAGCCAAAAACCAAAGATTCAGAGGAGCAGAACCATTTTCATGCCTCATATTACTGACCTTTTAAATGGTTTCTTTTTAATAGTTTTAACATATATTATGATATAATTGATATTATCAGTTTAAGTCTATTTAAATCCACAGTGCATCAGAGCACTGGTGATATTCTAGTTAAAGTGACTTCCCTTTTATCCTGGTTTTACAGTTTCGGTGTTTGCTTTTACGTTCGTTATAATTTTCCCTTACCTGTCTCGGTTTTGACAGAGTTGCTGGGTGCACTGGTGCACTGCTGGTCCTTGGCCTTCAGGGTAATGGTGAGATTCTGGCTGCATGTAAGCGGTGGCAGAGAACACATCCCATCTGACGTGGAGTTACAATCAAATGTCTGAACAGCACCCCTGGTGTCTGTTGCCACCACAACATATTCTTTGGCCCCGGCAGACTCGTTATACATCACCCACGCTGAGTTCGTCAAGCAGTCGATCTCCACGTCTGACAGCTGGGGTACGCAAGGAACTGGAGGCAACCAGGGACAGGAAATTAGGTGCTTACAGTATTCATAGATTACACAGACCACCGGATTTACAATTATATTCTGTAGATATCATCAACAGATGCTCAAATCTGCAGTCCAGAAATTATCTCAGCTGCTGAAATATGTCGTAATATTTTATTATCTGTGCATTTTTATAACAAGTCTGTTAAACTAATGACTTGGCTGGTGTGTTTCTGTCGTCACTATCACTATACATGAGTTAGAACTGTGATCTAAAATTATGACAGATTTTTTGGTTAACCTTAAATGCACAAAGCCATCTTTTGCATCATCTAAAGACCACAGGCTTACCAGAAATAAGCAGCGAATAGGGTTTCTAACAACAGCCTGTACAAGTGAGAGGATGATATGGGATGGAAGTGAGGAATATCCGATCAAAAACAGAAGAAGAGCTGATACTTGCCTGTTTTGACCATTTTAGTTTGGCTGTCTTTGCCCACACATTCATTCCTGGATGGTGTGATTGTGACATTGTACTGCATCCCGCACGCCAGTGTGCTGAGATTACAGCCGTTGTTTGTGCTACTGCAGTTGTGTCTGGCACCTTTGGCATCTGCAGCAGACACTGTATACACCACCCCTGCCACACTATTGTTCCAGGTGACAGATACGACGCCAGTGCCACAGTTCACATTAGAAAGGAAGGGTGAGGGAGGGCAGGGAGCTGAGTGGAACGGCAGAAAAAGAGGAGAAGTTGAGGTAAAGACTGAAGGTAAATAACAAGAAGGTAAAACTTTATTATGTGATGTATGAACAAAAAAATCCCTTTAATCAAAGACAAGAAAACAGCTATTAAAAGATAAATAGATATAGATAAGAGGTGTTGATATCAGATCTGAATAGCTGAACACTGAATACTAGAGCAGGTGCACTAGAACTGCCAACAGGAGCTGCACCGACCTGTAGAGACCTGCTCTGTGGGGCTATGGGAACTGTTGCAAGCTTCATCTTGGGCCACCACTGTAACATTGTAGGTCTGCCCACACTGCATGTTCTGTACAACGCAGTAATGCGTAGGAGTTGTGCAAATGCTCTTTTGACCTTTGCTGTTCACCACAGAGGCGCGGAAGTTCAAAAAGTAACCTGTCGACTGCCAGGTAATGTTCAGGACACCAGACAGGCAGTCCAGATGGTTCTGTATGTTCTGTGGCACACACGGAGCTGGAAACAAAGCGAACACAATACTTTCTGTATGGTAACAGAAATCATTAACAGAGACACAGAACTGCTAATTTTTTATGTTTATTAAGAATGTATTTTGTCTAATTTAAGGGTATGGTTGCTACAACAAATAACAACAAAGACAAAAAACACCTTAGACATATGAATTTAGCTCATGAATTCAATTGAATGTTTATAAGTTTTAACCAATGTCCCAATTACACCATGTCATGTCTTTATAGCCACATTTAAATGATTCATATGTCATAAATGGAGTAAGATCAAGTGTGTGGCAGCTGTCTGTTTCTGTTTTGGCTAGTGCTCAGTAACAGCAAATAATTGTTAAAGCATACAAAGTAAATGTGAAATCCCTTTTTCTGAAACTGATGAATAAATCAGTGAATATAGTGCAAAGCTTTGAATAACAATAGACAAATTACCAGTGCGAATCTTCTTCATGTCACTCTTGGCTCCAGTACACTTGTCATCAATACCGACAACGTAGACATTGTACTGTTGCCCACAGAGCAGACCAGATATTTGGCAGCTGGTGCTGCTGGTGTTACACGACCACCGGCGGCCCTGTTCATTTTCAGCCACTGCCATGTAGGAGACTGAGCCTTGAGAGGCCTGCCAGGACACTGAGATGTTGTTTGATTTGCATGAAGAGTTCACCATCAGCTGAGTGGGAGGGCAGGGAGCTGGAGGAAACAAGCAGTGAGTGAGATTATTTTTCACGGTTAATTGATAGAGGTTTCTGTTTAGAGCTAGATCCTGAGATTTTAAAAAGATGTATTTGCATTTCATACAGTTACATGTTATAACTAATATTAACACTAGTTAGTGAGATGCTTGGGCAGAAATGGTTTCCATAGTATGTTAAAACAGATAAAGAGAACAATTAGCTGATAAGCAGCAAAACATTTTGGATAGTGTATGCAAATGTGCACAGAACAGTTTATCCGTTATCTTCCAGTTAGGTGTCAGCTTGTTTTGTAAGGATGTAATTGACCCCACCTGTGTTCACTCTCTGCCAGTCCTGAGCAGGACTGCTGCAGTATAGTCCCTGCCCACTGACGCTCACTTTGTAGCTTTCCCCACACTGCAGAGAACTGATATTACAGGAGGAGCCATTTGTAGAGCAGGTCTGCTTGTCTATGGAGCCGAAGGCTTGAGCTGTGGCATTGTAGTAGAGGATGCCAATTCCTGTAGTCCAAGATACCACAGCTGTGTTGGTGTTGCAGTCCAGGGATGTTCTCAGACCACTGTGGGGACAAGGACCTAACAGACAGGGAAGAAAAAAAGAAAAGCAGGTGTAGTTTTTAAAAAAAACCCATTTTTTTTACATTTTGAGTTTCAGGGATTCATTTTCACAGGAACAGGAGTTATTTCTATAGAAATGTTCTTTCACTTTAAAAGCTCTGACATAGTAAATGGTTTTCCTGTTAGGATAACTGCAGGTTAGCAGTTAACTAGGGACACTAACTTTGAAAAGTTAATACTTTTAACATGTAGCAGATGTTATTAACACAATTTATGTATTTAATCTTCAAAAAAGATGTTCAGCTGATCTTTTTTGGGGGGGGGGTTATTTAATTGCTGTTACCTTTTTTTTTATAACATTAACATTTAGCTTAGCCGCTAATAATAAAAAAAGCTAATGCTATGTTCATTAAAGTAAATTAAAAGTAACTGCAACACAAAGAAACACTAAAAGTAGGTGTGAAAAATTGATGCACTGTTGTTTCATGTTGCATTAGCAACATTACAGCTGTGCACAATTTACTTTTAGTGAGCAGCTTGTTGTGTGGGTATGACAGGTTGTATTTTATTACCTGTGGTGGTCTTGACAGTCTCGCTGACCATGCTGACACAGGTGTTATGGCGAGCCACCACTGTGATGTTGTAGTCTTGTCCACAGGCCAGGTTAAGGAAGTCACAGTTGGTGTCGGTGTTGTTACACTGAGCATTGTAGCCCAGACTGCCCCGAGCATAGACAGTGTAAGATGTGGCACCCAGCGCAGCATCCCATGTGACTGCAGTGATGCCGGTGTTGCAGTCCACTCTTGCTGTGACGTGTGTGGGAATGCATGGAGCTGATGGAGGACAGAAACAGGTAAGTGTATGGATCAGTGTGATATTGTTTATTCCTGCAGTGCTCAGGCTTGTAATATTCTACACTAATGGCATGTACTTGTCCAGGTTCAGTGATGGATGACTATGATGTCAGAAGTCAAATCAGCTTCGCCTAAATCTAATACCATTTCAAAATGCTGCTTCAGCTTCATTGCATAAGTAAAAAAAATCTAATGCAGTTAAAATATTCTTCAGTTTTTAGTAGTTTTATAGAAACATTTTTACATTTTTAAAAATATTTTTACATTACATTATAGGGTTTGGGGGTATTTATTCTTTCATATAGCCTTGATAATTGTGTCAATACTGGGGAGTGTTTGGCTATGATTGGCTATATTTTCTGCCTTTATTTTAACAATCATTCACAACAGCTTGTGTGCAGATCACAAATAATGGCTCTTCTAAGCAAATTAATTTAGAAAAATGAAAGTTATTTTTTTATTTTTGATCATAATTCATTACAGAAGTCTGTATTATTATTATTCTGCTGTGCTGTAACTTAATAGAGGTTTCAATTATGCCATGAGACAGGCCATTATGTCTTGTGCTTCTAAATGTGATTGAGTCTAAACGACCTGTTGCATTTGTTATAAACAAGCTTGATGAATTGTCACAGTGATACAGTGCATCAATCTGTTCATTATTATTTGCTAAATTACCCGTGTTGAGTCTTTGGGCAAAAGCCAGTTCACTGCTGCAGTTGCTTGTGAGACCGACCACACTGATGGCATATATCTCCCCGCACTTAAGTTGACTGAAGGTGCAGTTGGAGCTGGTGGAGTTGCAGGTGGTGACTGTTCCTCTGCTGTCCCTCGCTGACACCACCTGCAGTTGGTCTGGGCCTGAGTTTGCCCAGCTGACAGTCGCCATGTTTGTTCTGCACTGCAAATTCACCATCACGCTGTTTGGCTTACAGGGGGCTGGAGACAAAGCAAGGAAGATTAACTTGCAGATGTGGGCGGTTTTAAAAGTTATTAAATGGGGTGAAAGTAGGTTAGATAAAGGTTATAATGAAAAATTTGAAGGGATAGAAGTATACTGTATGAATGTTGCTGCACAAAACCTAAAAATAAATATTAAATATTAAATGACTCAGGACGTTCAGGAATCTTGCTCCTTCTCAAAATGTGTGAATTGTAATATGTTTTATAACGTTGTTATGGATTTTGTTTAGTGACTTCAAAACATTTGCCCCAATTTTAATGTTGGTCAAAGAATATTTGCTACCTGACTGTATCTCATAGTTGGAGCCTTCAATGAAGCCGCAGTCGATTGACGAGGTTGTGACGACAATGCTGTAAATGAGGCCACAAGTTAGGTTCTGGATGACGCAGTTGGTGCTACTAGAGTTGCAAGTTCTCCGTGTCTTGTCGCTGCCGATGGCGATTGCAGTGTAATCAATGTCCCCAAGGCTTCCCCTCCACTCCACTGCAAAGGTGTTAGCATTGCAGTCCAGCTCTGCTTGTACCCTGTCAGGCAGACAAGGGGCTTTTGGAAGAGAAGAGAAGGGAAGATTATCAGTTGACTGTTTAATAGTTTTGAGATTTAAAAGAAAATCTAACCCTAAAAGCAGATGTCTTGTACCTGAGACAAAAGTTAGATTATCTGATTTACTGCTGTTGCATGTTGCACTGGAAGCAACCACAAAAGCTGAGTACTGCTTTGCACAATCCACCTTCAATGAGCAGGTTGTTTTGTTGGTACCACAGGAAACTAAGTGGCCGTGGGTACCAGTTAATGTGGCTGTGTAAGAGATGGCATGTCTACTCGGTGCCCACTTCAGAATCGCTAAGTTTGTGGCACATTCAGTTTTGACAGTCAGGTTGGTTGGAGGACATGGAACTGGAAGTAAGGAGATTAACAACAAGTCATTATGTGAGAAATGAACAAAATCATCTGCATTAAAAAAAAGACCAAACTGGGGTTAATTATTTGCAAAGGATGTCAAACCAGTACTTTGTTGGTGAACAAACCCAGAAATATCCAGATATTAACCTGTCTCAGTTTCTATCTGCTTGCTCAAGAGACTGGTGCAGTCAGGGTCCTGGGCAGCCACTGAGAGCATATATGCTTGTCCACACTGCAGCCCATTCATCACATAGAAAGTCTGAGTTGTGGAGTAGTTATAAGCGATCCCGCTGTTTCCTTGGGAGTAGATGAAGTAGGTCACTCCGCTTTCTGGACTTGGGTCCCAGCTTACTGTGATGTCATTGTTTCTGCAATTTGTCACTCCAGTCACACCAGTGGGTGGGCAGATGACTAAGAAGGGGGAGAGACAGGTAGAGAGACAATTTGATAATTAGTGTCCCAGTGATTTTTTTAACACTATTTTAGAAATAGAATATGAGCAGCAACAGATCCTGTCTTTGGATTTGATTTTACCTGAAAAACCTCCCTAATTCGTCTCCCACTGGAAACTTTACGTCCAGATGAACAGAATTAACTTATTGGTATGGCATTAATTAGTGTTAAGATCACTGTGCGTTCAACTGTCTTGCTTATCTTATGTGTTAACAAGCAATTTTTTTATGTCTGTGAGTGTGAATGGTTGTCTGCCTTTCTGTGTTAGCCCTGGTGACCTGTCCAGGGTGTACCCTGCCTCTTGTCCTATGGGGGAAAGCGCATGTCCCAGCCTATCATAGGGTTTTGCCCCTTGACAAGGATAAGCGAAGGAGAATGGATGGATGGGTAAGACAAAATCTGCGTAAGTTCTATTTTATTTCCTGAAAGTTGGTTATATCTGACAGGACAACTGTCTATATGATTGTTTATCATTTTTTCTGGTTCTTTCTTGCAAGTTCTTTAGTTCCTAGTTCTGTTGCATTGTTTAGGTTTTGGTTTAGGTTTTGTACCCTTTGAATTTAGTAGCCTTACCCTTTGTCGACTTTTGTTATATCTTTTCAAAAATAAGTTGACTTTCTGCTCTGTGTTATGGTCTGCATATGGGTGAACTGAAACGTGGCAGATGTGAGCCATTATAACATATTAATAAAATGTTGATGCACAAAAGTACCAGGCAAACAGATTTGTACATTGTATCTGACGTTTAGTTCTATGGTAGCTGTATTTGTTGAACACTACAAAAGTTGGATGGATGGATGGATGGTTCAATTCTCTGACCTGTTTGTAAGGTGAATGGTACGCTGGGTTGGCTCGTGCAGCCTCTCTCTATGGTGACAACAGTGACAACGACTGTTTCTCCGCAGTGGAGGTCTGTAAGGGAGCAGCTTGTTCCATTGGATGAGCAGTTGTGGATGTGTTTGTCCGTGAGAGAAGGTGCGGTTGTGGCCAAGTAGAGATCTGCTCGAAGGGCAGGGTCCCAGGTCACACGGCCCACATTTCCATCGCACTGCAGAGACATGTGGACGTTGGTGGGAGGGCAGGAACCTGCGAAAAAGATGGTGAGATAAAGTTGGACGGGTTATAAATCTAAATATAATTAAAAATATTAAAAGCGAAATCTTTGTTTTGAATTAATAAAAGATAGATATAATAATTATTAAATAAATGTTGTTAGTGGTTATTTTAAAGAATGCATAAAGTTGATTAAAGCCAAGTTTATCCAGTTTATTTTTTTATTTGGCATTATCTCACCTGCATTGTAGGTGTATGGGAAACTCTCTCTGCCTTCGCAGCGCATAGAGAAGGGAGTGACGGTGATAATGTAGGTTTGAGAGCAGTGCATGTTGGGTAGCAGGCAACTTGTGCTGTTTGTGGCACACCTTTTGAGGTCGCCGTCTCTGCCAACTGCCTTCACACTGTAGGACACTGCACTAGGACTGTGTTGCCAGCTCACTGCCGCAGTGTTGTTGTCACACAGCAGGGAAGCACTGATGTTCACTGGAGCACAAGGGGCTGACAGGAAAACAAAAGGAAAAACCACTGAGTACAAACACCACCTAATTAACCCTCATTTTAATTTTTTAGGAAGTTACACCTGGTATCTCTTAAGCCAGCAGTCCCCAACCTTTTTTGCGCCACGGACCGGTTTATGTCGACAATATTTTCATGGATCGGCCTTTAAGGTGTCGCGGATAAATACAACAAAATAAAACCAGTACTGGTAACCAAAAAAAGAAGAGTTATTCATAACACACAGGAAAAGACCCAGAGAAAACAAGTTAACAATAATAACGATAAAAAAATAAGGATAGAAACCGATAAAAACCCTGAAAACCATAAATTTCACGCCCGCCTCAACTCTCGAGGCCCGGTACCAAACGTCTCACAGACCGGTAGCAGTCCGTGGCCCGGGGGTTGGGGACCGCTATCTTAAGCCATGTATTTGCTAAAAGTTTTTAATCCAATGCATTACTCGGCATTTCAACAAAGTGTTTTAAAAGAAATACAGAATTTACTGTATTTTATACAGTTTACTACACTTGGATACTTACGATAGTAGAAAAGGGAACATGGGGAAATTGGAAATTGTATTCATGGTAATCAGAAATAGTATTTTTGAATTTCCCACAGACTTTCCCAGCTGTATATACATCACCTGCATCTACATCCTCTCCGTCTTACCTGTCTGTATAGTCGTTACGCCGGGCACGCTGCTGTTGCAGGAGTCAGCCAGAGCTACTACTTTTACACTGTATGTGCGACTACAAAGCAGCGTGGGCAGGGAGCAGTCAGTCTGGCTGGTGCTGCAGGAGGCTGTGAGATTTCCAGACTGAGCATGCACATAGAATCTTTTCCTGCCCAAAGTCTCATCCCAACTCACAAAAGCAATGCCAGTGTCACAGGAGTATTGGTACTCCACGTTTGCAGGGGTACAGGGTGCTGTGTGAGAGAAGACAAGTTCAGTTCCTGAATACCTTCAACCTTTTTTTTAACCCATCCCTAAACCTTATGATAGGGTTGTTAAACATTAGGTCTGGGGGCCAGAATTGGCCCAGCAAAGACTCTAATCTGGACAGCTGGTTGGACTTGGACTTAACTGTATTTTCAGATGTTTTACGCTTTTCCTGCTAATAAAGACCTCTGTCAAGGTCTTTTAAACTACATCAAAGTAATTAAGTAATAGATAAATGATAGAAAGTACTATTATCTGTTTTTTTTCCAAGATTTAGTAGAAAAATTTCTGTGTGTGTGTGTGTTTTTTTTTTTAAATTGGGTCTACGGTGAAAAAGGACATGTTCTGTGAATTAACAAAAAAGACGATATGGGCAATGGGCTACAAGATTTTTTTTTTTTTAACAAAACTTTTTTTTTATATATATATAAGTTGTGCTGACAGATTTCTTTCTTTTGCTATAAAAACTGTACTGTTTTAAAGTATAAAAACCACCACTACTGAATTGTTTTCAAAAGAAAATCAGAGAAAGACATCAAAAAGAAACAGCAATTGTTAAGTCAAATTTTTTGCTTATATTTTTTACCTGTAACAATCTGAAAAGCAGAGCTGGGTTTGCTCTGACACTGAGGTCCTTTTGCGACAGCCTTTACAGTGTAAGTGTTTCCACACAGCAGATCCAGGACACAGCTGTTGTTGGAAGATGAGCTGCACGACTGCATATATCCCATACTGGAGGTTGCATTGACCATGACAGTCATGGCATCCTCATCCTTAACCCAGGTGACCAAAGCTTGGTTGGAGCTACAGTTCAGTGAGTGGTCTTGGATTACTGGAGCACAGGGAGCTGCACACAAAACACATTACAGATGTGCTGATTAAAGGAATCTTTCTGGTTAAGTAATCTATAATTGTAGGCAGTTTTAGGAAGTTTAAGATTTCATTCTTTCTTTGCATGAGGATAATTTGAGCTACTCAGTTTATCCTGACGTCATTCTTTGTGCCAAAACTGAAAGTACCTGTTGTAATGTTGGTTTTAGCAAATATGGAGCTGTTGCACTTTGTGTCCCCTGCCAGAACAGTCACAGTGTAGTCATTCCCACACTGCATCTTGGTTAGCTCACAGGAAGTACCAGTGGAATTACAGGAGTCGACATGTCCACTGGCCTCAGCCAGGATTGTGTAATAATTTGCGCCGGCGCTGGCCCTCCAAGTAACCGTCACCACATCAGAGAGGCAGTTCAGAGTAGCAGCCACGTTTGTAGGGTCACAGGGTGCTGGAAGTCAAAGTGGAGAAAATGAACGCTGAGATAATCTTCTTTTGCCCAACTTGAAGAATCACTTGTTAGAAAATCTAATTTGTAAGCTGTGCTTTCACACCCTACAAAAAATATTTTAGTCCATATTTTACCAGTTGTTGCTGTGTCCATGACGCTGTTTGAGCTGTTACACCTGTTGTTGGAGGCCATCACACTGAACATGTATGTCTGAGCACACTGCAGACCAGAGAAGAGGCATCTTTGGTTAGCTGTTTGACAGGATGTAGAGAAACCTCCTGCTCCTTTCAGTGTGGAGATGTAGTACATTGCCCCAGGAGCTGCATCCCAGGATCCCCACACTCTGTTAGTGGAACATTCCACCAGGGTTTGGATGTTCACAGGAACACAGGGAACTGTGAGAGAAATGATGTGACAAAGAGGAAAAGGAAGACAAGGAAGACGGACCGAGTGAGATCATGGCTCGTAGAGTCATAAACTTTAACAAGTCAACTAAAATACCTGAATTTACAAGCTCCGGGACACTGCTGGGTCCTTCACATGTGCTGCTGATGGGCTTGACTCTCACACTGTACTGCTGTCCACACTGTAACTCAGGCATCCTACAGCTAGAACTCTGCGTGACGCAGCGAAGTGTAGTGCCATTTGTCATCACCGCTGTGGTGCTGTAGTTCACTGGCATGGATCCCGGTGTCCAGCTGATGGTCAGTATGTTGGTGGTACAGTTAAGAGTGGTCAGCATATTCTGCACAGTACATGGGGCTGAGATGACAGAAAAACAGTTAGACTTACTCGTCTGCAATATCTCAACTGCTGTTTGGGATTCGATAAGTACGAGAGGGTTATTAGGACGTAGAATAAAAGCAGAGGTGCTACTGCTTCTTACCAGTTGTATGGATGACTGGCTTGCTGTCTGGACTCTGACAGTAATAATCTGAAGCTGACACAGTGAAGTTATACATCTTTCCACACTGCAGACCCTCCAAATTACAACTGAGTTCTGTCGTTGTGGAACAGGTCACATTGTGACCGTCTGCGGTTATGGCTTTGCCAGTATAAGACAATGCATTGGGGCTCCTCTGCCAGGCTAACTTGGCAGAGTTACTGCTACAGTTCACTGAGACGGTCAGCTGAGAGGGTGAGCAGGGCTCTGCAGAGGAACGACACAGAACACATGCATGGTGTAAGTTTGACAGTGATTGGACATAAGCAGTGTTAACTTATATTTTTGTCAGCGTGTACCTATCTGTAGTTGCAATGTGCGGCTCTTCATGCTGGTGCACGTGTTGTCCACAGCAACCACACTGATATTATACACATGTCCACACATTACATCGACCAGCCTGCACGATGTCTCATTGGATGTACACTTTAAGTAACTGCCATCTGCATCCAGAGCAGTAGCAGTGTAGTTTATGGCACCCCGACTTGCTTGCCACATGACGTCCACAAAATTCTGGCTGCAGCTTCTCCTTGTTTCAACGTTAGTGGGTACACATGGAACTGGGAGTGAAATTTTCTGATTAGCTCAGCTGTTATTTAATGAAGAAACTATCTTAGTAGGTAGCAAAGTAGAGCCACTGATGTCAATGAAATAAAAAATCTTTATAGGGTTAACTTCTCTTACCTTCCCTGAAATATAACTCTGAAGGACGACTGACGCAGCTGCCATTGAAGGACATCAAATTCACTGTGTACTCCTGGCCACACTCCAGTGTGTGGACTGCCAGGTTTGTCTGTGTGGTGTTATACGTCAACGGCATGGTGCCGTTTGAGATTTTGACGATATAACGTTCTGCATTTTGGGATGCATTCCAGCTTATTGTCACATTGCCTGATGCACAGTCCACCCTGGCACTTGCGCTGGCTGGCCCACAAGGAACTGAACGAAAAATAAGAAGGGTGGGTGAAGGCAGGCAGCTAAGAAATGAATTGGTGAATCAATAACTTTCATTTAATTTTATATTCAAAACGAATACTTCTGTCAAACTTAATATTGAAAGTATGTTTAGGGAAAGGCAAAGATCCACTATATTAGAGCCTCACTGTCTGTCTTAGTAGAAAAGAGATCATTTGTATCTGGGTGTGAAAACTAAGCCAACGCTAAAGCGCCTGTAACCTACATTCTTTCTAGTGGCCAGCAGGGGGTGACTCTTCAAGATCTATGACCTCTGTAAATACTTTCCTAGTATTGCTAGTATAGGGCTCAGTGTTGTAGCATTAGTGAATATAACATGTTGATCACTTTAATTAATGTCATTCATTAGAGTTAAGAAGCTAAATTTGGCAGGTCTACCATGTGATTGACAGTCTACTGTACAAGTGTGTAGTCTCCCTCAGTTTCTCAGTCAGTTCTCTGTCTAGTGTCAAAATCAGTTGGCTCCAAACTGCTAAGCTCTAGACTTCATAAATGGATGTAGCCCCTGGTTAATGATTACTGGTCAGGTGCTGGTGGAGCAAAATGACTCTTGTGGTCTCAGGATAGTCCGAGCGAACACACCTTTTTGTTACAATAAATCAAAACTGTTTTTTCTGTGTACAAAAAGCATTTTAGGCCTTTTCAGACTATCAGCACTACGCTAGATCTGACAAACTGACATGTGGTCAGTTTTTAATGTATTTTGAAAATTTTCCTACCAGACTCCATGTAGATGTGCGTAGAGGGCATGCTGGAGCAGTTGCCGTCATGCTGGCTGACAGTCACAGTGTAGAGCTCGCCACATTTCAGGTTAGGTATTTTGCAGTTGGTTGCAGTGGAACTGCAGCTTAAAAGTCGCTGACTTGAATCTATAATGGTAGCAGTGTAGGAACTCACACTTCCATGCCACGAAATCAGAGCCTCATTGGCTGCACAGTCCAGGGTGGCAGTGAGGTTATTTGGTGGGCAGGGAACTGAAATGACACAAGTGGGCCATTATCAATCAGAAAGAAACAAAACTGTATTTAACTTTTAATAAAATAAAATAAATGTCCAAATATGACTGTGACATTTTAGTCATTAATGCTCACTCAGAAAAAAGATGCACATCTTGGCAACTTTTACATAAAGTAACTAAATGAGCATCTTCACTAGAGGTTACCTGTCTCTATGGTAAACATGTCACTCTCAGAGCTGTTGCACATGAAGTTGGAGGCAATAACATAGACTTTGTAGCTGGTGCTGCACTTCAAGCCACTGATCGTACACAACATATCCACGGAGTTGCAGCTATAAATGACCCCATTGCTGTCCTTTGCCATTGCAACATAGAAAAGTGCTGGGTTGCTCATCTCCCACTTCACAGAGATGGAGTCTTTTGCACAATTTCTCTCTGCTGAGATGTTCTGGGGAGTGCATGGGGCTGAGGTAGAAAGCAAGCAAGTTAATAATAATACCAACCTGGAACATTTTCACAGTACTAGAATTAAGTAAATGATCTATTTTTAGTTTTTAGGTTTTTTTTTTATTGCAAATACATCTACAGATTTCTTTTAATTACTCTTCAACTTTATAAAAGGCTTGAAAATTCTAGTCAAAATTTCCTACAGTTTCAGGTCATGTCTTTTACAGGGTTTTTTTTAACAAACCAACAGTCCAAAACTTTTAAGATAATCAATTAAATTATGCAGCAAGACATTAAAAAACATTGTTCTTTGGAAATAGAATTAGTACTTGCTTGTTTATTGGCTATATTCTATATATATCCACTGGTAAAATGTAACAAAGACATGTAATTTAATATATTCATAATGTTTTCACTTGCAGTTAATCATTTGTCAAGCTTAGAATGAATCTTGCATAGCTGTGTAGGAATGGGTCATCCACCATAGACTGCATCATGTTGTGCTGCCATGTTTTGAGTTTTTCCTTTCCAGTCACCTTTCTCACTCACTATGTATTAACAGACCTCTCTGCATTGAATCATATCTGTTATTAACCTCTGTCTCTCTTCCACAGCATGTCTTTATCCTGTCTTCCTTCTCTCACCCCAACCGGTCGCAGCAGATGGCCGCCCCTCCCTGAGCCTGGTTCTGCCGGAGGTTTCTTCCTGTTAAAAGCGAGTTTTTCCTTCCCACTGTCGCCAAAATGCTTGCTCATAGGGGGTCATATGATTGTTGGTTTTTTCTCTGTATCTATGAAGCGCCTTGAGGCGACTTTTGTTGTGATTTGGCGCTATATAAATAAAATTGAATTGAATTGAAAATGTTTTACTATAACCAAACACTGAGCCTAGATTGAACCACCTGTGTAAACATTACTACCACCATAGGCTCTCTTACATGCTTGGTAAGGTTCAGGTATTCAGTTAGCTGCAATCTGCAACCTCAACGCAAGATACCACTAAATACTACACACTGATTCTTTAGTAAGTAAATTGTGAGCCATCTTTTTTTTATTATTATTATCATACTTTAATATGTAAACAGCTGAATTTGCAGTAATGCAACTTAGAGTAATGTAGATACAATACAGATTATCCTGTTGCATATAAAATATTGGCTCAGTTAATCCAATGCTATTAAAAATAAACATTTAATTAATCGAAATATGCAAATATGTAAATATAACACTGAGATTGGTTTGGTTGGCATACTAAATATGTTTTACTGATAAAATCTTAGTTATCATTAAGATTTGTATAAACCAATTAACCCATAAGAACCTGTGTCACTGCCCCTTTACACACTGAGGAAAGTCATGTTAAAGTTTTAACATCAGCTCAATTATAGTTTTCCTGGCAGTAAAAATGGGTCTGTGCTCTTTTGGATTAATGGAGTGAATGCAAATGCAGATGTCTGAGGCGCTAACACAGGGGTGGGCAATCTCAGTCCACGAGGGCCGGTGTGCCTGCAGGTTTTAGATGTGTCCTCGAACCAACACAGCAGATTTAAATGGCTAAATTAGCTCCTCAACATGTCCTGAAGTTCTCCAGAGGCCTGGTAACGAACTAATCATGTGATTCAGGTGTGTTGACCCAAGGTGAGATCTAAAACCTGTAGGAACACCGGCCCTCGTGTACTGAGATTGCCCACCCCTGCTCTAACATGTGTTCCTCACTTGTCTCAGCCGGTGGCCCCAGCACTGTTGGACTGGGACAGTCATTGTCAAAAGATCTGATGGTGACGGTCAGATGGTCTCCACACTTGACGCCCTTCATAACACAGCTGTTGGACACTGAGCTGCAGTTGTAGCTGCTGTTTCTGTAGTTGCCCACAGCTGCCACGGTGTAGTACAGTGCCCCCTCAGCATTGTCCCACTTGCTGAGCAAACTGTCAACGCTGCAGTCGGCTACTGTTTCCAGATTCTGCGGAATGCAGGGTGCTGGAAAGAGTGGAAATAAAGAATTGCATAAATGTACTAAAATGTTTGCATTTATATAAACGAGAAGCTGAACACAACTGATATTGAATTGTAAATTGGATTCATCACATTCATCACAGAGAGCTGATATGAGAACGCACTTCAGTTTCTCTCAGAACCAGGAATACGTTAAATTTCCTGTTCAAAAACTGTTACAATTTGGAATGTTAACAATGTAATCATTTGCAGATAAAAGACTATTTAAATAGTTAGCCCCAGTGAGATAAATTTGTCAAATCATTCACTAGAAAATAGGACATTAGTTACCCAAAATTATGTTGCAGATTTATTGAAATCATACCTGTGCGAACGCCAACAGGAGAGCTGAAGCCACTTGAGCAACTCCCAGACACAGATTGAACTGTGAAGGAGTAGTACCGTCCACAGAATGTATTTGTGAAATAACAATTGTTTCCTTGAGTCATGCATTGCCTGACCATTCCCTGGGTGCAAAGAAGAATATTTAATATTTAGCCAGTGCTAATTTACATGTTCTAGTTTATCACAAAGGTCAACATTTGAGGGAAAATTTTTAGGTTTCTGTTGATCTGACCACTTTAAGATCATGTGTATGCCAAGACTCTCAAAAACTTTCTTTTTGAAATCCAACTTCTATGATTCTGTTTTCTACTTAGGTAGATAAAATCTTGGGAATTTGAAGAGATGAGAAAAACAGTGTTAAAAAAGCAAAGATTAAGGAGCTAGTTTAAACTAGCTGGAAATGTTCATACAGACTATCTAGTTCTGCATGAAATCTGCCTACCAGATTTTCTAAAGCTTAATAAATTAATCTTCTCATTCAGTTCTCTTTTATTGGCTGAAAAAAGGTTGTGCAATTATTATTTGACAAAAATAAGCAATTGTAAATCTAAAATATAATACCTTGGAGTCGACTGCCCTGGCTAAGTAGTGGTTTACTTCGTTTGTCTGATTCCATGAAAAAATGATGACATCAGTGTCGCAGTCCCGCAACAACATCGGGTTGGCTGGAGGACAAGGGGCTTGATGGGAAGACATAGAGTCATTTAAAAAATAGCACATCACAGACATGACGTATATGCTGTATATAAAGGATGGATGGTAGAGCTATCTATGGATGGATAGCAGGAGAGCTAAAAACAAACAAACAAAACTGGTTGGATTAAATATCCTCATCAAAGGTGAACTTCTCAAATCTCTGTTCAGGTTAAAACGCCCTGATACTAAAGATTGCGCTCCAGTGTTGCTTTTCACTGTATAATGTTTCAGGTTTCACTTAAACACAGGCTCATTCTTAACTGGCTGAACACAACACAATATGATATAGACAGCAAATCTCAAAAGGAGACCCAGTTTTCAAAGGAGACGCCTAGTGATCACTAAAACAAGTGTGTGAACTTGGAATGAAAAACTTGTAAACAAGTATTCCCATTAGGCGCAAGACCAATGTGACACCAGTAATCGCTATCCTGAGGTAAAAACAAGTGGGTGTAATATACTTGGAAAAAGCCCTCTTCTTAAATTTGACATCAATCCTTGTCTTAAAATTAATTTGTAGCTGATTGGTGGAGCTTGTTATTGTTATTATAAAAAATAGAGTTTTTCTTTGCCCTTTCCAGGGATTTGCTCTTTTTAAAAAGGTGTTTTATCACTTGATTGACTTAAGGATTCATTGTCCCGAATTAAATACGTGGGTGGTTGACATGTTAGAGCTGCTTGTCATGAAATTATATTCAGCAGCATCCAAGTCACGACAACTTAGCCAAGCACAATGTGACCCATTGGGTGGGGCTGAACACGCACTCTCAGCCCCGAGATCCCCGACTGAATGGAGGGATATGTGAGATGAAAAGATTAACTGCCTGCCCAAAATAGACAATAAAGTCCTGACATCCAGTTGACTATTGCTGGAGGGCCAAATATTTACCAATAGAAATCATGCAATAGGTAAAAATACTGCTAGTTATGAATCGTCTCTCCCGATAAAGATGTTCAGTGTTTCAACGTCTAATCTAAAGGAGCATTAAAAACATTTTACACATGCTTGTGTAACAGGATGAGGCCTTCTGCTGATCTTATGAAAAGAGTTGTATATTGTCTCCAGTAGTTCAAGAGCAGCTTTCTGAAAGTCTGACATTTATAGAAGTTCCCTTACAAGGTAGAAGCTTGAAATACGTGACCACTTACTACACCACCTTATGCCCCTTATGATTGATTTGTGGATAATTATACCTAATTGTGGGACATCAATAGAGAATCACTGCTTTACATTTCTTTGTTAAAACAAACTCCTTTATATTTCTTCTTCATTCTTTTTAGTCCCTCTTCAGATTGGCTTCTTTATTTTAAAACTTAAAAGTAAAATGCCAGATTTTTCAATACCAAACCTATACGTGTATTTGGAATATGAGCTCTCAGATTCTTCCTTATTTAAAACAAAATGGATTATTTCAGCTTTTACAGCTGAAGAAGGAAACAATCCCGCTGTGAACAAAGGCTCAGCTGGTTGGGTATGCTGCTTGCACACTTCATAAAAACCCTGATAAAAACAGACTTTAAAGGGAACCCCATTGCTTTATTTTCTTTGTGTGTGTGTGTTTATTCGGTCTCACCAGTATTAAAAGAAGCTGAGGTGTTGTGGATGAAGTTCTTGCATTTGTCTGACATGGGCGTTACATACACCTTGTATTCCTGGCCACAGCTCAGTTCTTTAATCGGACAGTTGGTGCTTTGGCTGGTGCATTCCAGCTGTGTGCCATTACTGCCAACTGCCACGGCCCTGTAGGACGTGGCCCCCGAAGCAGCCGGCCAAGACACGGTGACAGAGTTAGTGGTACAGCTGTAGTCCACTGATACCGATGAAACAGGTGTCAGCTCTGCAAGCAACGCATTAATATAATTTTATTTCAGAAAATTATATCATTTCACTGATGTTTGATGCTACATTGCCTCTAATCTGTATTTGAAGGGAAACCTCATATCTAATAGTAGAGTGCTATAAAACCCAAATAATCTTCTCACATGTCTCTTTTCCCATCAGCCTCCACCTAACCTAACAAATAGGTTTTCAGAACATCTGAATTGTCCTTGAGGATCATATTCTAAGTGTCTGAAAGGGACGCTTCAGAGAGAATGGCTGACCTAGATCCTAATCACCAAGTTATTGATATTGTGTGGCTCTGCAGACTCACTGTTGGTGGTGTATGTGTAGTCCGTGGGCTCGCTCGGCACCAAGAACATGCTGTATGAGAACACTGATATCAGATAGGTGGAGCATGGGAGGATGCCTTGAACATCCAGCTTGGTGTCTGAGACATTGTATGAAGAGGGTTGACTGCTGGGATCATCTAGGTTGCGAATCCTGACATGGTATAAAAGGACCCTATTCACAGGCTCCCACGTTATTCTTGCCGTAACCTGGTTAGTCTGTGTTGCAGTAATACCGACTGGAGGCTGCACCACTGAAAGAGAGTGGGATTTATTCAGATATGAATACTCTTAAATAGTTGACACAAATCAGTGAAATACTTTTTCTACACAAGTTTCTAATTCTTAGAGACCTTTGATTAAAAAGGGTCAAGCTACCATTTATAAATGCATAGCTTTAATGTAATTTTTCACTTTCTATGCATTTATTTTGGAATATCTGCTCCTGTCCCCCTGAAAAAGTCATGAGATTTCTTTGAACGTTCTCTTTTTTAAATTTACCAAACATTTGCAAGAGTTACCTGTTTTTCAGAGAGCGACTATAAAATACCCATCCACCCTAAAACACTTCTACATTCTAATTGAAGTTGGTCACTTACAGGTTGTGATGGTCTTCACTTTGCTTCTGCTTCCCAGGCCTGCCTGGTTAACTGTGTAGACATAGCAGTCATAGTTGGAGGAATGCTGCAGGTTTGTTACCACAGCTGTGGTGTTGGTGTATGTAAAGTTCATCACGGTTCCAGTGGTCTGAGAGTACACCTCTAGATAGTATTTCTGTGCTGAAGGCACTGTTGTCCATGTTACTTTGATTGAAGTACTTGATAGTGCTCGCCCTTCAACTATCTGTGATGTGTCAGGGACTGGTGGGAAAGAGCAGGCGAGACTATTTCACATAAACTGCTAAAGGAAGTCAACATAAAAAATGACAGTATTCTCAATCATGATCAATCAGTGTTGTTGTAGAAATGTTGGACTTACCTGTGGAAGCCAGAGTGGAATTAACACACGCCACACTGAAGAAGACAAAAGCTTTGACAGTCACATTATACTCAGTTCCTAGTTTTAGACCAAAGATGTTCCTCTCAGTCTGGGATCCGGATATGGACGTTATAATTGGTGCAGACTGTGGAGAGTTTTTCTCCCGAAGGTCCAAAACATAGTTCGTTGTTCCAGGATATTCCTTCCATTTTACCAAAATTGATGAGGCACTTGATGGACTTGCTGACACGATGTTGCATCCTGAAAGAAATGGAAATGCACTGCAATAAACTTTGACATTAAAGCTTACACAGCAACAAATAATACAGCCACATATATGTCACACTGAACAGAAGCCAGTGTGACATCTTGAGCTTTAATGATATTTTCTATTCTATTATAGTCTAGTCATTATCATGGTCATAAGTTTAAAAATGACCAAATTATGCTAATACATAGCTCTTTAGACCTGCATAGTCACGCAAATGTCTCCATTTTCTTACCTTCTGCAATGTGAAGTATCTGAAAATAAAAACAATGAAAAATCATACAACTGTTTCAGTTTTATAGATTTTAACATAAAAAGTTATATTTAGCCGAGTTAGACTTACCAAAGCTAAAGAAAAGCATATGGCTCCCAACAATCCCATCTTTGACAATGAGAGCGGGATTAAAATTACTTTACTATACAAGGGAGTCAAATGCAAAAGGTGTGCTGGATTCTTTTGAGCTTTAACTCAGTATGCCTGAGAACCAATCAGTATTCCTCAAATAGAGGGCAGGCTGTCCCTCCAACAGCCCCAGGCAGCATAAGCTGCCCTGGGAACACAGCATGAGGGAGGGATGGAGGGATGGAGGGCGGGATGGATAAATGGATGAGAGTTTACCTGAAATGAGGATGACAGGAAGGTTATCACCCTCTCTCACTTCCTCTCTCTTTTTTCCCTCTTATTCAGTCTATCAGCAGCCATAACCTCCATCCAGGCATTTTCCTTGCTGTCTATTTGTAGTATCTATTATGTTGTGTTTATTATTTGCAATATCAAACAGTCTTTTTGTTGTTCAAAGTCATTGATAAGAATTCATTTATTGTATGACATTGTGGCAAGTCTTCTGTTTTTTAAACTACAGAAAACAAAAGATTCGTTTTAGGATCTCTCAGTTCAGCCGTGTTTATTAAATCACAAGAGAAAAAATATTAATTCATCCACATAAGTCATATGTCACATGTTAACGCAGCATTGTCGTACGTAATATTTGGAGCCGTAGTTTACGACATAATGTTACTGACCTATTAAGCCTTACTGCTCATTAACCCAAGCATGATTGATTCATTTGTTCAGTTGTTTTTTTTTTCTTTTCTGTCGAAGTAACTGAATGTTTACACATCGTTATTCGTTTAGTGGTTTCTTTTTCTTCAAGAAACAATACACGAGAGCGCGGTAAATGACCTGAACTTGGGAGGGGCTGCTTAAGCAAAGAAAAGAAATGCACCTGAAACTAAAGTCAGGAATGTAAACTTGTAAACTGGGACTTCATCTAGATGGGATGAACTTCCTAACGCACAGAGATTTACTAACTTGAGTAATTCATAAACTGAATTTTTGCAGGTGTTTAGTACAAACAAAAAGTGAAGCTGATTTCTTCCTAGATATCTTAATCCCAGAGCTGACATTATGTAGGCTACATGCTGGGCTGAAAAAGATCTTTGTCACACTTGAATAAAGGCCTATGGTTCCTCCTCGTGTATTACAAAAAAGGAAGTCAGTGTGAAAATGGATATGGGCTAGAATACTGTGAGGAAACTTTAGATGTTCTTAGGCAAAAGAGCAATTATGAATAAATGATGTGAACATCTTGATATTTTAGCTGTGATATTGTCCTGAGGTAGACAATATTACAGGTCGGTGTTAAGGATCCTGTGTTGCAACTTCCCAAAAATCGGCCTCCATAAAATGACATTACAACACAGAAGGGTTGGGTTGTTTCTGCCTCTGGCTTCTCACCAAGCGGTGATCTCCAGTGGTTAAAAATGAATCCATTGAGCAGATAACAAAAACTGCAGATCCTTGAATGGCCACTTCAGTTTAAAAGCAAGTCAATGCTAATTCACGCCCATGTTAAAATGCACAACTTTAGAACAGAAATAAACATGTTTACAGCCTGATGCTGGAAATGTCTTTTCTCTTCGCTCCAAAACAGTAGCCCACAAAGCAACTTCTGACATCACAACAGCTACGCTCATCTTTATATAAAGTTGGCTTTACACTGTAAGGAACCTAGAGGTGAATTAATGACAGCTGCATTCAAATCAGCGACAATATTATGCATGAAAGCTGCTTGGTAGGATACATATATTCAATCTCTGATTTCCCTAGGACGTCTCAAAGTTAGGTGCTTGCTCTTTTGGTGTCACGGTTCTGGGTCCGTTGGACCCAGTATTTTGAGTTTATTATGTTTTGGTTTAATTTTGCATCATGGATTGTTTTCTTGTTCTCTTGTTGTGGTCGTGATGATTATTATTAGAGTTTCATGTTTCTGTTATCCATGTTTTAGGAATTGTGGTTTCATGTATAGTTCAGTTCCATGTGTCATTTTCCGTCTCTCTGTGTTGAGTCCGTGTCTCTGAGTTGTAATTCATGTTTCCTGTTTTATTGTGAAAGTCTTTGTCTTATGTTAGTGTGTGCAGCTTTGTTCCCCCTGTCTCGTTAGCCCTGATCTCTCCCAGCTGTGTCTCCCTCCTGTTGCCGATTCCCCCGTTAGTACCCTGTGTATATAAGCCCTGTGTTTTCCCATGCTCGGTGTTGCGTCGTACCCTCAGATCCTGCCTGCGTGGTCCAGTTAGTCTGTTCATGTTTGGTTTCTGTTTTATTGGTGCAAGCAATAAAGCTGTGGTTTCGAGTTTCAAGTTAGTGTTTGAGTTCTGCACTTGGATCCACATTCTCCACCTGCCCGCACACAGAGCCCTGACATTTGGTGGGCATAGGTCTCCTGCAGGGGAGGGTGAAAAAACATGAAATGGTAAACCCCAACATTTTATTGCAGTTTAGCTAACATTTTTAAAACACACATTATGTGAAAAATGGAAAACTTTTTTCAGACAGACATTTTATTTTCTCTGTTTCTACAAATATGAAGGCCACTGCTTCTTCTGCAGAAAATAACAGTATTTCTTTAAAATATAAAACACTTTCATGAGCAGTAGTGTATAAAACACTGTAGTTTTACTGTGAATGTAATGGTTTATAGGAGCACTTTGCAGTTTTCCAACCTCACTTTTTATGGTTACACAAATAAGCAGCCACCTATCTGGTGAAGTGAGTCATATTAAAATGAGACATTGCTTTGTTGAAAGAAGTATAAGTGAAAATGGTGCAGATGATGTTGAAGGAAATGCTGCTTTTAATCAAGTAATATTAGAGTTTAAGGTAGTCATCATCATCTATTCAGTATAACATACAGTGTACCCTAGACAATATAATAGTGGTTATATTAGTGATGTTATGCACATACTAAAATAAAAATATATAGAAAAAATTCACACTGATTTCAGTTAGTGCGTAATTGCATTTTTTCATAATTTATCGTGTTATATCTGTATGATGGTGATAACAATAATAATAATGAATTATTATGTTAATCAATAACAGTTCATTTTTCTTTCACGTCAGGTTCTTATGCTCACTGCTAGGTGTTAACATGTCATCCCAGCACCTTAACCAACTCATGTTTAAATAATAATCACATTTCTCTACATTTTTGTCAAACATAATGTCTAAAACAAGAACATAAGAACATGTTGACAAGAAATTAACCATAACTATGTGCATACTGGAGAAATGCTGGGAATCAAAAGAAGAAACTTAGAATAATGCATTTAAAATTCTCATCACTGAAGGATTTGAGTTAGAGTAGAGTTCAAGTATTTTCTGCAAAATAAGGGATCAAAGCTGTTGACTTTTTGTAATAAATAAAGAAATAAACTTGATAAATACAACCTGTAAGGATGAAATGTAATTATTTGTAAATTGCACAATGGAAGGGACATAGCAGAAGAAGCTATAGAACCACTGTCCTACTATGATGAAGGCCATTGTTCAGACATCTGTTGGAAGTTTCACAGCATTATGGAAATATGTTTTTCAGTCTGGTACTTTCTCCAGGTATTCATCCACAGTTTAATTACACTGCACCTAATACAGGAAATGGCACCGTTTGGCACAAAGTAAGACACAAAGGCATACTTTAATGAACAATATAGAAGAGAGAGGCATACTTTTCCACACTCAAAATGTAGTTCTTTCTGATGTGGAAGTTAGATGAAAAGTTGTTGTAATCATTGACACCACTTTTACTTTACTAACAGAATAAACTCAAATGTTAAGTACATCCATACGCGAAAATAAAAGAAGTTCCTAAATAGGTTCTGGGATGCTTTTTAAGAAGGTTGCCACGTGGCAGGATTTGTTTCTAGAAAGACTTTGGTTGCAGTTGAGCAGAATTGAAAGTGAAGATGGTCTTTAGCAACAGTTGCCAAGTTTTAGCTTTATACTGACAAAGGGTTGGAAAACTGCCACGGTGGCTCGTGTAACAACTGCTTCCATACATCGTGGAAAACTGCTTGTTAAATTCACAAAGAGCAGTAAATGTCAAAGCCACAGAAGCAGCACAGGTCAGCTGAGCAACGCCTATAAGCGGAGAAGAATCTACAGGAGCTCACAAATGTAATGATTACTTGAATGATTCCTGAGTAATTTCCTGTTTGCAGCCCTGCACTGGAACTCAGGGTTCCCCTGACTACTAAATGTCTCTTTAACCTCATGAGACATGATCTGATGAAATGTTATACTGTGACAAAATATGGTTTCACGGTCACCATCACGGCATGAAGTTAGCCTAGGTTGAGAAAGCCTCAACAGGTTTGAGGACACACAGAAAAAAAATTTCCCTTCATGTTTTGAGTGCTTTGAGAAATGAATGTTAATGTGGTGGGTTTTTTATTATGTGCGTGCTTTTTGCAAGGAAATTATACATCTCAATTTGGTGTTTGTTACACAAGCTGCGAAGATCTAGGTGTCTCGACAAAATGCCTTTTGCCAGAGTCATGGCTCATGTTTTACTATTCAATGCCAACTATTCCCTACAGAGAGTTACAGTTTCCTTACTGATAACCAGCACTGTTCACAGTACGCTGAACATAATACCAGAGCCATTTGTGATTTCAAAGACTTCAGCCAAGTGAAACTTGCGCTACGAAAAAGTCCATGGCAACCAATGTTTCTGGGAGGAGCGCCGTGCAAAGCTGCAGAGGTGCAGCTCCCATATGGAAAAGATATATATAAATCTTATAAAGTTTGTATCTGTCTTGTGTGAAACTTGTATGAAAAGCATACAAGAGTGAAAACAGATATAAGATCCCTTGAAAAATTATATAAATGAAACTTGTATGTTTTGGATACTTACTAAAACAATATATGAAAGTAATGAGAAAGTGGCCACTTTCCAGAGTAAATCATATAAGTTTTTACTATTTCTTTTCCATATGGGCTGTCTCATGTAAAGGCACGTTGTAGGGTGTTTCTGAGCTCTCTTCTCTGTGTGTTCTTCTGCGATACTGGTGATTAAAAATATGTGAACACCATAATATTGAACTGCAGCAATGAATTTCTTCTAACTCACTGTAATTGTGGGTTTAACATCAAATATAGCTTCCCTCATTGTTAAGGTCAGTCTGCATACTGATGACGTTCAGCTTTACATTTCAGGTAATTGCATCTCTGCTGGAAACAAAAAACTTTAACAGAAATAAGAGATGTTCTAATAATGAGTAATTTTCCAGTCATTGGTATTTGGTAGAAAGAAGGAATGATGTGTATTAACAAATGAGAGGTAATCATTTTGGCTTCCAGTTTGATTGAATATGGTACTGAGTAAAGGTGTTTTGCATTGATAACCAACAGCATGAATATCAGTTGTGTTAAAGAACTTTAATTCAGTTTTATTAGAACTAGATTCACTATTGACATGGAATAAATAGAATACAACATGTTGTCACTGAGAAGATATTTCTTGCATAATTATTACCATAGAATTACACACGAACTAATTATTTACTCTCAAATGCAAATTGATGCTGGAAACCATTTTTACACACATGCTGCACAAAATTAAAATTTAATTCTCATAATCATAAATAGCACAAAGAGAATTTAAAGCAAACAGGCAGATCAGGAAAAGATTCACAGAGCGGTGTCTTCATTAGCACTTCATCACCAACATGCCTCCTGCCTGGGTTTAAACTTTAAAAAAGAGAAGAGGTCTCTCCCATGTTCACAAGCAGCTGCTACAGCAGGTAGCTACACCTGTGTGGTTACGCAGATTTTTCCACCACATGCCCTTTCTGATATATTTTGAGCAGAACACACAGAAAGAACTGCTGTTACACTTGTTTTTTTCATTTAACACATGAAAATCATTTAACAAAACCATTTCTCATTTTCTTGCTCCATGACTGATTCCTGGTTGACATTTGTTCCTTTAGGAGCACGACTTTCTTCCTGTGGTGTAGTAGTGTATGATGAATATGTTGTGTAATATCTTCTGTGGAAGCAAAACATCAAGACACATCAACGTTGTATTCAGTTTGCGGTATTTTTAGTTTTTTTTGTTTCTTTATTGTAAGTCACTCATGTGCACATATAGGTACACATGTCAGTGTGGCCAACACAGAATTACAAACTGTGTTTCATCGTTGTGCAAAGAAAAATGACAAAATGACAAAACAAAACATAGCAGAAATTTGCAGATACTAGCTAAAATCATTTGCCATATTTTTAAAACTTAAATTTAAAAAAGCACAAAGGAATTACAGAGTCTCTATCTTCACCAAATGGGTTTTTTTTCCTGTTTATTCAAGCACAAAGCTACATGTCAGATATAATACATTCACTTACCATGTGCTTTTCTCTTCTTTAAATCACTGCGGAGGAGAAGAGTGAAGTGATTTAGAAAATAATACCATAATGCTATTAAAGTGTGATTTTAATAATTTCCCTTAAGGGTGCTAAGTAGTGTTGATCTGTATTAAGTCTGTGCATAATAGCACCGTTCTAGCATAAAGGGACAACTGGCTTTTCTTTTATGAGGTATTCTTTTATGAATAGCTTTTTAGTCACTCAAGTTCTTTATCAGCTCATTGTGGATGTATTTGATGTGTTTATAAATACTGCAGTTTTACGTGAATTTATGCATGTGGGCACTGACCCCTGATAAAAATGTTGAACTTACCTGTGGAAGCCAGGGTTGAATTCACACACGCCACACTGAAGAAGACAAAAGCTTTGACAGTCACATTATACTCAGTTCCTGGTTTTAGACCATAGACGTTCCTTTCAGTCTGGTGTCCGAATATGGGCGCTGTAATCGGTGCAGACTGTGGAGAGTTTTTCTCTCGAAGCTCCAAAATATAACTGGTCGCTCCAGCATGCTTTTCCCATTTTACTAGAATTGATGATGCATTTGAGGCACTTGCTGACAAGATTTTGCACCCTGGAATAAATGGAAGCACATGCAGTAAGCTTTGTTATTAAAGGTTGTACAGGAGCAAATAATGCAGCTATACATACAAAAAAAGTTTGTTATTATTTGAATCCATCTGTAGTGCTTTTTTATTCACAATCATGCCTTTGTATTTAAAAAATGGATAGATTATTTAAATGACATATTTTTCATTTTCTTACCTTCTGCACCTTCATGTGTCTGCAAATAAAAACAATAGAACATTATTTTTCTTTTGTTATTGATAAATATTGATCATTTGATAAATTTCAACAAGTTTAAAAGTTGTATTTACCTGAGTTAGAGTTATCAAAGCTAAAGAAAAGCCTATGGCTCCCAACAACCCCATCTTTAACAATGAGAGCGGGATTAAAATTAGTTTACTATATAAGGGAGTCAAATACAAAACGTTTGCTGGATTCTTTTAAGCTTTGGTCCACTCAACCTGAGAACCAATCAGTATTCCCTAAATGGGGGCAGGCTGCCCCTCCAGCAGCCCCAGGCAACCAGAGATGCCCTGAATCAACAAAAAGAGGGATGGAGGGAAGTTTTCTCTGTTTTCAATGTAAAACGTGGCAGCAGTTTTTCAGTAGGAATAATGTCTGGTGTTTGGGAACTATTTTTGTAATTTGAGACTTTGAAAACTTTTTTCAATGCATTATATAAAGCCAGTGTATCTTTCCCGGTATTATTGAGCTTGACCAAATAATAAACCTCAAGGTTTGACATTTGAAACAGGTGGCAACTGGCAGAGCTGAAAAATGAAGCCAATGTGGGAGTGACACAAACTCTAGTTGTCTAGTTGAGGCTGGTTGCAAAAAAGGAAAGACCACAAACTCCTTCACAAGGACATTCTGATTAATGTCTTTTATACTCTGAAGTTAAAAAACAATCCCTATATTTACAGCTACTGTATGTTATGTATGATTGTCCATTTATGTTTGACACTCTGGAGATAGGGGAGTGTGAAAACCAAAAGATGTTACAGGTCAAATTTCTGACTTTAGAGACCTCTGTTTATGGGAGAGCTGGAGGCAGTGGCACAGAGCTCTGGGACCTCTTCTTAAATTGCTTTCTCTGCAACTTGGTTATCCGATTTTCTGGTTCACTTACAGTGTCAGAACTTTATAAATGTATTGATAAATATATCTATAACTTGTAACATTTTAGTCCAGTCTAACATATTACCTGCATGTAAGTCCAGACTTCAAACATGTCACCCAACTTGATCAGATTTGATTAAATTTCCAATGTAACACAAAGATGAAGATGATGCTGTTTGCCTTACCAAATATAACATTCTCATCAGAGAGCCAAGTGTTCACTGATGTGTAATCAGTTTGAAGAAAATACAGTTGATCTTGAAGAAGGGAATGTTTCAGAAACAACAAAACAGCTTCTAACAGAATTAACCCTTTAAAGCCAAATGTATCGTTGATACATGAGGTTATGAGTGGTTGAGACTTCTACGTCATCAGTTTAATGTATTGAAATTCACTTAAACAAGCTTTCTTGCCCATTCTCACGCTTGGTTTGAATGTCAGCAGGACAGGCTGAATATAGTAACTGCTGCCATGTGACTGTTAAACAGATTTAACTAACAAAGCATTATCAGCATCCTGATTTACAGATCACATATCTACATCCAAAACAAAACACTATATGATGATGATGCTGGGAGTTCTTTATTACCAGGAATTTCCATCACTTTGAGACAATGACACGTACTGAAAGCAGTTCATTACATCCTAACAATATAAAACAGAGAACTGTTGTTTTAAAAGGGAAAAAAATCATGTATTTAAAGATGAATATGTCAGTTCGTGTTCCTTGATTGTCAGGAGGACAATGAGCTACACATTTATTGTGCTTCAGTCATCTCTATGACAAATTTCTTGAACTGAAGAAGAAAAATCCATCATATGTAGTTTGAATTAGCTATTCAAGCATGGTAAATGTTTTACCAACTATCAATTGCAATTTTTAACAGTTTTTAAAAAAATCATTTTCCTGTTAAATCCAGTAATTTGTGGTTAAAATTAATTTAGAATTTCCCCAATTTAACATAACTTTAGTTACTTTTTTCACAGATCACAGATTTGAATCTTAAATGTTAGAGCAGACTGTGAGTTTGCTTTCCTATGCCACATAAAAATCATCAAACATTATACCAACATGTTTCATGGCTAAACATTTGTGGTTGTTTCTCTATATATTTATGAGGCTGGGATCATTCCGGTGAGGATGGGGGTGATGGATGAGGAAGAGGAGGATGAACATGTTTTCTGTCGAGGAAAAAGATCAAAACCCATGAAAACTGAATACTGACCTGCAATATTTGTGCTTTTATTTTCACTCATTGGTTTAATGTGCTCAAATCTGATGACAACAATGTCAAGTGTCGCTGTGTTTTTTGTAGCCAGAAGATAGACATTAATATACACAAGACGGTAGAGACAAAAGATGGTCAATTATTTTAACTGTCATTAAAAATGTTATCATAGATTCAAGACATAGACTGTTCCACAGTTTAGCACCATAAAAACAGAAAGTGAACTCTGATACTTGTATGTGGCATTTATGGTACATTTTTTTTTAAAAAAAGGAGTGGTGCTGACAAAGTTTCAGATGGAAGACTTTTGAATCTTATCTTAATAATTTTCATCTTTTTATATTTCATACCTTTCGTGTAGTTTTTTTTCTGCATGATACGTGTAAAATTACAGAAAAGGTTCTGGGAACTCAAACATTAAATTTTCATTAATTCACAGAAAATGTCCTTCTTTATTTTATTTTTTTACCCATATCTTGATCTATAACAGTTAGACTTTAGTGTAGTATAAATGTCTGTGGGTATCAGGGATCTTTATCACCAGCAAAAGCTAAAAATTCCTCCTTCAAATTTTCCAAAGCTGTCCAGTGCACCAGATTGAAGTCTTTACTGATTCGAGCCCTCAGGTTTTATTTTTGCGCTCTCTTTAGCCAGCTGCTTACCATTTGTTGCTAAACATGCTAGTCCACGCTTCTCTTCCCTCTGTAAATAACTGATGGAGAAGAGATTGAAGCATATTTAGAAAAAAATGCATGCATTTTTTTTTACAATCTAATGCAATCCAAAATAACATTTTTTTGAATCCAAATTCAAAAAAATCTAGAAAGATGGCAAACTTACCTGTGCCAATGTTGTCTCCTAAACAGGTGACTAAAAGAGCAGAAACAGAAAAGTCTAAATCTGAGGTACTTTTTTTTCTAATCACAGTTACTGATTCATGTTTATGTAAAACTTTACCCTGACGAAACATGGAAGTAATGAGAAAAATGTGTGAAAGGGATTGCTATAATAATATAATCAATGGAAAATAAAATACACACAAAGTCTAATTTTATACAATTTCACTTTGAATTACCCGAGTACAGTCTCTCCGGGCAGAATTGGACTTTGCTGCCCTCTTGTGTGAGTGGAGCGACCACTACATGATAGACGTCCCCGCACCGGACGCTGCCGAAGTCACAGCTGTTGTCTCCAGGAGCTGCGGTGCAGTTGTAGTTGCTGTTGCTCCCCACCATCTCTGCGATGGAGCTGTGGTTGCTCCCAGTGCTGCGCCAGTAAACCCGCAGAGAGTTACTGGACGTGCTGTATAATTTGACACCAGACTGACAGCAGGGACCTGCGACAAAGGCATGCTAATGAAGTGATGCATGTCTTCTGACTAGTACTACTTTGCAATTAAAGGCTGAAGAAAAACAGATTACCATGACTGTAACAGCTTTGGTTTTGCTCTTTTATCGGTAGGCATATCTTCTGTTTGTATACACTTATCTTGATACTTCTAAAAAAAATCCACAATTCCTCGTAAGTTTTTATTTCAATACATAAAATAAAGGCCTTTAAGTCATAAATTAGTTTTTTTACGTGACTTACTACGCTCCTTTGCACCTCCATATTTTTAGTCTTATACTCTGTTTTAGTAATTTTGCATGATTCACATGATTGCCAGAGCTCCTCAGTTCATCCTCTCTCTAAAAGAGTTGTTTTAACTTTTCTCCTTTGAAGGCAACCCTCTTTTTAAGCCAGCCTTCTTTGGATTGGCTGTCCTTGGCAAACAGAAGGTTTGATCATCAGGTGGCTGGGGGTTGTGACCAAAGCCGTTAGAGGAGTCTGATGCCTTATCCTTTGGGTCATTGCATGATATGCACGTAAATTGCCATGATTATTTGAAACTATGTACATATTTCAAACGAGTAACCAAAGTAAAACCACAATAGATGTGTGCATGTTTTAATAAACTTGTCAGAGCTCTCTGGCAGATCATTTTAGCCTTTAAATTTGTCCACACCTCTTCTGTTTTATGTTTTCTTTTATCTTTCACTGACCACTCTTTGTTACTTATTGTCACGGTTTATTAGAAGACATCACTCACTTGATGAGAAACCCTGATAGGTGCAGTTGGACCTGCGTCCGTTATGGCTGATTGCCTCCATGGTGACAGTGTAGTTGGTGCTGCAGGTGATGCATCCCATGAGGCAGTGGGAGTCCTGGGTATGGCAGCGGGCATGACCGCGTGATGATGTCAGAGTGGCGATGAACAAGCGTGCCCCTTTGGCGTGCGACCACGACACGTTGGTGATCGCCTGGGTCACCTGATCCACCGTCAGATTCACTGGGCAACACGGTTCTGCGATAGAAGATGAGGTGTGGGAAACAGTTATAACATATCAATTAATGTACAGTTCAGTATATTTTTATATTGCAGCTAGGCAAAAGTGTCTAAATATAATTCTTGTAAACTAGAAAAATTGATGTAAAGATGGGCAAAGTGTTTAATTGAACATAAACCCTTTTAGGTCCCGTATAATTACCTGGAATAAAGTCACATATGAAGTTATGCAAAGTTGTAAAGTTAAGCAAGAAAGGTCAGGAAGCAGCACTGACCGTTCGTGAGCGACAGCATTCGACTGCTCACCTGTTTCTAGAAACTCAGAGTAGCTGGGTAAACTCGGACCAGCTGTGCTGGTTGCTTCGACGCTTACTTCATAGGTGGAGCCACAGGAAAGGTCAGTGATGTCACAGCTGCTTTTATTGGTGCTACAGATGTGTTTGTCATCATCTCCATTTGCGCTTACAGTGTAATTAGCAGCCCTGTTATTTGCTGTCCAGCTGACTGTGACGCAGGAGGAGTTCTTTGGATTGAGCATCACATTGTTTGGCATGCAGGGAGCTTCGAGAATGGAGAGAAGGCTGAGTTAATGGTGTCCACGTTGTTTAAGGACCCCTCAAAAATATGAGGAGACATCTTTTTTTTTAGATATTGTGGACTTTTTCTCCTTGGATATGTTTTTATACCCTTATTTATATACACAAGTTTTCTACCTGTGTCTTTGGTGTGAGCTTTACAAGCAAGGTTGCAACCGCTCACATCATTGCAGGGAATCACCACCACACTGTAGGCAGTGTCACAGCTGAGGCCAGAGAGGACGCACACCGGTGCGGTGTCATTACAGAGGATGACCTCTGAACTGTGTGCAGCCCGGGTCTCGTACAGCACTGCCCCCCGTGAGGGCATCCATCTGATGTCCAGAGTGTCAGTGCTCACCGCTGACACTGACACATCCTCTGGGCAACACACCACTAAAAGAAGTTTATGAATGATCAGAGAGTGAAGAAAATGCATCTCATCGTGACTAAAAAGTATAATTTTCTGCTGCTACTTACAAGTGGTGTAGTTGAGAACTTGTCCTTGAGGACTGCTGCCAGCGTGGTTGAAGGCCAGCACAGACAGGAGGTATGTTTGCCCACACGGGCAGTGAAAGGTACAGTTGTTGCTGGTGGTGTTGCAGGTTTCCACACTGCTGCCAGCTGTCTCGATAAGGGCCATGTAGCTGTCAGCATGAGCCACAGTTTTCCACGTTAGAGTGCAGTTGCCTTCTGAAGACTCCACTAGTGCCAAAGACTCAGGTGGGCAGGGGACTGCAGCACAAGACGGCAGGGAATTTAGTCACAGTCACACACTCATAGTGCCAGGTAGGGGTTCGGTGTAGAACACAAAAAACTTGTGTGTCATATTTTATAGCATGTTTTGCATTGTAGTTATTAAAAGTTTGAAGATTTTTAATGAATAAATTGTTTTCTTTAAGATATATAAACAGTGTGATATAAAAAAAATGTTGAAATTGTTTTATCTGCTTATGAGTTTTAAAATGTTGTGGTTATAAAGGGTCAGAGTTTAGAGGTCAAAGTATTGCTTCCATTGGTCCATAGTTACCCTTAGTGGTCATTAATTTTACAGGATACATTCAACTTTTGTAATGTGGAATTAAATTTGGGTGTTTTTCATGTCATATGGAATATAAATCTTAATTTAAATCAATGCATTAGAAACAATACAAGTTTCTGCATTCGGCTTCATACCCGGAAGGTAATTCCAATATTTTTAAAAAACATTATGTGGATGACACATTCATATCTCTTCTACTCACAGGTGATGAAGACTGCAGGGCTAGATGGATAGCTGGGCCCAGCTTCATTTGAGGCAGTGACTTGGATGGTGTGTACCTCTCCACACCCCACTACTGAGAGGGTGCAGGAGCTGGATGTGGTCTTACACATTAAGTTTAGGTCACTCATCACATTGTACTCAATGGGTCCATAGACCTCCTGGTCTGGCTCCCAAGACACCAAGAGTCCAGCCACACTGCCATTCATCACCACAGAAACATTGACAGACGCTGGGGTCCGAGGTCCTGTTAAATGACAAAAAATAAAAACAAAACCAGCGAAGGACTAAACTGGAGTAGACACGGGAACCAGTGTGATATAACTGCATTTGGTTATTTTTGAATGCATGCTTTTATTTGTTGTAATTAAGTGGAAAATTTTGCTTTTTTACTTCGTTGTATTTTTCAAATGTCTACTAAAACGGGAAGTTTTCAAGGTTCTAAGTTTAGAAAACAAGTATTTCATACTTATTGTGCTCCTATATTTTAAGCAGCATGTTCATTAAACCTTGTGGATAATTTGCCACAGTAAGACTCCTCAGAATTATAATACTGTGTGTGTTTTTGGTGGCTTTACTGCTTTGCAGCATTGACCCTAGATCATGGTTAAGCATTCTTCATGCTGTCCAGGGCTCTTGCTGAATAACACTCTGTATGCTAGAGTAAACACAAAGTGTACAGTCACAAACAGACAACTGTCTCAGTGCCTGCTTACGTGTAGCCTGTTTAATGTTCGAGCTGTCTCCCTTTCGACCTTCAAGATCCCAAGCAAAACAAGTTATGACGTAGAGTGAGCCAGCATCCAAGCCGGAGAAGGTCAAACTGGTGTTGGAGGTGTTGTACACGCCCATGCTTGTGTTTGAATCAAGCTTGCATATGGACAGGGTGTATTGGACGGCATGAGCAACTGGATCCCAGGATACAACGATGCTGCTGTTGCTCGTAGAGGAGGACGCAAGCTGAGGAGGAGCCAAAACTGTGAAAGACAAGATTAGACTGTTTTATATGTAGTAACTGGTGTGGGAGATGAATACTGTAGCACATTATTGAAAGTCCAAAAGTTTAATCCAAGACTATGTGAAGGAAGTCAGTGTAACGTCAACTTAATAGTGGGTGCAACATTTAGAGCTCTTGCCAGTTGTTACATATTCAGACTGTGCGCTTATGTTATTTTCTTTGATCATTTTAGGTGAAGCAGAGCTTCAGAGTTTGATTGTGTTCACGTTCAAGAATCAGTTTGAAAGTTGCTTAGTATTAAAGCGTGAAAGGTTCAAGTAATTGTATGTTATCGATGAAAACTGTACTAATACTAATATATTAAGCAAGTAATCAGTATTATTAATAGATAAACTCTGTATTACTTTGGTAATAGTCACATAACTTTGTCTTCATTTCTGTTTCAAGTTAATCAAGTTTGCATAAATGAAAAGGTTTAGAGGACATTTCTCTGAATTATTAAAAAATGATTGTCACAAAGTGACTGGATTAGTTGAACAGGTGCAATCTTAAGAAATTTTTAAACAAGACTTGTTGACTGGTGCAAGATCAGTAAACTCATTGCACCGCTGAGAGGCTACAGCTGCAAGTTCATGTTTCATGTTCGTGAGAATCGAATGTTGCCCCCCGTAAAGATGAGATTAGAGCTGGTAACCCTTTACTCAGGAAGAGTTCAGCTCTTTATGTTTGACATAGAGGGGTCAGGTATGGTTACCACCAATGCCAGGGAGGCCCCTAGGGTTGAAGATGAGTGTGTATACTGTACCTTTCACTTGAACAATTGAATATAGTGGTTGTGCTGTTTAGACAATAAAACAGATCAAGTGACCTCTGCAGGGCATGGGGTGTGAGACCCATTTCACACGAGTAATTTGAAAATCCCACCTGTCTTTCCAGTTACAGGAATTGAGGGCTGGCTGCGGCCTGCGGTGTTCACAGCCATGATGCTGAGCGAGTACTCAGTGTACGGCGCAAGGGACTCAATCTCAGCTGGAGAGGAGGATGCTGCAACCTCTCTGAAGAAGCCATTGCTGTTCTCGACACGTATGATGTAATGAGACACCCCGTTTCTCAAGTTAAACTCCACTGTCAAGGTTGTGCTACCCAGTGACTTCACTGTCAGAATGGGCTCCATCATATCAGGGGCTGAAAGAGGCACAAACAATTCACAACAGGGATGGTATCAAGTCCACGCTTAAGTTAATTTTTACTGTATGTGTCTGCGTGCTGAACTTTAGATTTAAGTGTTTTAATTAAGTGGTTTTTTAATTTAAAAAGCAACCAAAACTACCCCATACTTTATCGTCTGTGAATCTCCCCTGGTACATTTACTGAACATAACTATAAATCACATGTTTATTACTAGTGATGTCTCAAGTGATACTAGTGATGCTAGCCTGAAAAATGGCAGTAATACTAGCAGTAAAACTGCCAACAGATCTAGATAGCTATATTTGCATTGCAAAATTACTTATTTTTATGGTTCCAGGATAGCTTTTTGCCGTACATAATTTTATTTAGATGAGTGATCAGTGTGCCTAAACATGGCAGCTTTACAAACATTCTAACACAGGGGTGGGCAATCTCAGTCCACGAGGGCCGGTGTGCCTGCAGGTTTTAGATGTGTCCTCGAACCAACACAGCTGATTTAAATGGCTAAATTAGCTCCTCAACATGTGCTGAAGTTCTCCAGAGGCCTGGTAACGAACTAATCATGTGATTTGGGTGTGTTGACCCAAGGTGAGATCTAAAACCTGCAGGGACACCGGCCCTCGTGGACTGAGATTGCCCACCCCTGTCTAACCCATTGAGCTTCACAGGCTATTCTTTGAAATTTACTACTCAAATAACATTAATTGGGAAACTGTAAGTTCAAAATTAACAACATTGAACTCTATGGAGAACGGACACTTAAAGACACTGTGTAATAAAAGTCTAATAATAGGTATTACCAGTCCAGTGTGAAGTTTGAAAAACTTAAGAAACACTGGAAAGTTTACTTCCTAAATGACATCCTTTTCATAATGAATCAGTTCTATTTTTTCCATTCAAATTATAAGCTACAATCTTAACACTCTTATGTGATGCAACAGAAATGAAGCTTGCTACAAATACTTTAGGATTTCATTGTGGTATACAGTGGGTTCATCAGCTGCTGTAGCGTGTTCTCCAAACTTTAAAAAGGTACTGGTTGCATTTCTGTGCAACAGCTACACAGCCTGGACCCTCTAGAAATGAACAACTTAATAGGACAAAGTCATGTTCAATAAAATTAATTTAAAAACTGTTTGTTTTAGAAATAAATAGTGAAGGACAACACAAGACTGTATACTTCATATCTTAAACAGCATGAGCATGGACTGAAGTGCATGAAATCTCACCTGTTGATGATTCAACTGATGCAGTGCTGAGTTTTTGGGAACCACTCATTGCTTCAACTACGAAGTTATACATGACGTTTGGAGGCAGCGAGGTAACAGAGCCCATCACTGTGTTTGGACCAAATGTTGCAAAAGCGACAAGTTCGCTCTGTGATTTTACAGTGATCTGGTATGAAGTGGCTCCAGAGTACCTGGTCCATCTGAGAGTCACAGTCTTTGATGTTGCAGAGAACACAGACACTTTAAAATCTAATGAAGGTAGAGCAAAAATCATTATAAGACACATCTGGCACCCTGAGAAAAAGATTCTTTCAGACAAGTCAAGTTTTTTTTCTTGTTCTGTGATAAACCGCCAACAATTGAATATAGTAAAAGACAACATACAGTACCTGATTGGGCTGCAGCCTGCAAATTAAGATAAAATATATGTATTAAGTGTTCTGATGATCAATTTCCTATAACAGTTATCTCCTCACTATTTATTACAATACCTGTGAGCACATGCCCAGTAATACAAAAATCTCCAGCCACTTCATAGCACCAGTTTTTCTGGTTTGTGTCTTCTCTCCTTCTCTTGATAGCTTCTCTTTGATTCTTAAAAACACTTCTCTCTAGTGGTTTGATCTTTTCTTAAACATCTATCAGCTGAAATACCTGCAGCAAGCCCCTCCCACTGGGGGGGTTAAATGTCTTTTTATAATGAAGCAGTGCGATGGGGCCGGTGTAGGTTGAATGCCATGAAAAAAACCTACCTTTGAAAGCATCATGTTCTGCACTCAAGGATATATCCACTAAATGTGACATGGACATAATTACTGTCTGGAGGCCTCAGAGCCACCTCTTTGACAGTAACATAGATAGATAGATAGATAGATAGATAGATAGATAGATAGATAGATAGATAGATAGATAGATAGATAGATAGATAGATAGATAGATAGATAGATAGAT